TCATCCAGCTGGACCAGGTCACCCGGCCTGTCCGGCCTCCACCCACCTCTGGGTCGCCCCCCTTCCCCTCGGAACAGCCCCCCTCTCTCCCTTCCCTAGGTCCTTTCCCACCTCCGCACTAGGGCCCCCTGAGTAACTGCTCCCCTTGCAGGCAAAGCCCCTGGGCGCTGTGCTGAAGGAGTTGTGCGACGCGTGAGTGCTGGCCAGCCAGTTTGGGGGAGGGGGGAAGGGGGTGTCAGAGGGAGGGAGCGCCCCCTACCTGCCTCACTGAGCCTCCTCCACCGCCCATAGGTGGAGCCTGGCTCACCCTGAGCGCTATGCCCTGCAGTTTGCTGATGGGCACAGGAGATACATCACTGAGAACGTGAGTCCCCATTCACTCTCCGCCCTTACTCTACACTGCATGACCCCTTCTAACTCAACTGGCCCTGATTCCTAAGAGTCATCATCTGCTACCCAGAACGGGCTCTTCTCCCAAGTCCTCTCGGTGACAATTAACCAATCATCCTCAGCGCCCTTCTTAACTTCTGTCCCGTTCTGTGTCTTCTCTAGAACCGCAACGAGATCAAGAATGGCAGCATCCTGTGCCTCAGCACTGCCCCAGTAATGCCCCCCCTGCAGCAGCTGACCCCACGTGACCCCACCCTCCTTCCTTGTGCCCTGCTGTGCCAACTTCCCACACCTCCGCCCCAGCCCCCAGTGCCCCACCTAGTGGAAGGCCACGGTCCCACATCCCTTTCCCATTCCTTACCTCCTCTGCCCAGCCTCACCTGTGCTCCTGCTCCCACCCTGCCAGGAACTTGAGGCTCAGCAGCTGCTAGGTGGGCTGCAGAGTGGGAGTCGGGAAGGGCGTCGGGAAGCCCTGCGGCACCTCGCCCTGCTGGCCCCAGACATGACCTTTGCCCGGGAGGTCATCAGCCGTGATGGGCTTCAGAGACTGGGCACAATCATCGAGGATGGGGACGAGTGAGCGTGGGGCTGTGGGCGGGTGGTGGACATGGTGGGGTGGGGGTCCTGGTGTGGCCTGGCTCAGCCCCAGATGTCTCCCAGCCTAGGCGAGATGCTGTCTCTTGCACTGAGGGCCTTCTTGGAGCTCATGGAGCATGGCGTGGTGTCCTGGGAGACACTCAGCATCCCCTTTGTTAAGAAGGTGGGTGGGCTTTACTGCAGGCAGCAGGCCGGAAGCAGGGTCAGGACCTGGCCTTCCATGGTGGCAAGGCTGTGACCACCCTTCCCCTTCCTCCAGGTGGTAGGCTACGTGAACATGAACCTGATGGATCCGTCAGTGCAGCCCTTGTCTCTCAGGCTGCTGGAGAGTGTGACTTTAAGCAGCGCTGCCCTGGGCCAGCTGGTCAAGAGTGAGGTGCCACTGGATCGGCTGCTGGTGCATCTACAGGTGTAAGTGACCACGGGGTACAGACGAGGGCAACAGAGTGGGGCCCTGGATGGCCGGCTGAGCCCTGCTTTTTCCCCAGGATGAACCAGCAGCTGCAGACCAAGGCCATGGCACTGCTGACCGCCATGCTGCAGGGGGCCAGCCCTGCTGAACGTAAGGTGGGCGTTCACAGGTGGGGAATGGAGGCCAGTTGCTGTGCGCCACCACGGGCCTACAGGGTGGGTCCTCATGTAGGGCAAAGTCACCGACGCCCCTTTCCCACCCGCCTCAGCGCATGCTTGACTACCTGTGGCAGCGGAACCTCCGCCAGTTCATCTATAAGGTAGGAAGGTCTGGGCCAGGCGCACCCCGCCCCTGTCCTCCCGCGAGCCCAGCTCACGGTGACCCGGCTTGCTCCAGAACATCATCCACAGCGCCTCGCCCCTGGGTGACGAGATGGCTCACCACCTGTATGTGCTGCAAGCCCTCACGCTGGGGCTCCTGGAGCCGCGCCTGCGGATGCCGCTGGACTTCAAGAACCCGGTGGGTGCCTGTGGGGTGCAGAAGCCTGCAGTGGCTGGAACTTGGCCGTGAGTCTGTGATCTTGACGCTTTTCTCGACGACTGCAGGAGCAGATGGAGCAGCTGCACTCCCTGCGCTATGCTGCCTTTGAGTCGGAGGGAGAGTCCGCGGGTACAGGGCCGAGTACTGACCGTCGCCGCGGGTTCCGGAAACTGGGCTTCTTGGTGAGTGAGCCTCTCCCAGCGTCCGAGCCCTGCTGACCCCCAGGGCTGTTGTTCCCGGGAGGTCGGGGCCCTTCCTGAGCGGCCCATCCCCGTTCTCCCAGAACAGCCCTGAGGAGGACCTGGGGCGCGTCCCCCCTGGCTTGCTGGCCCTGGACAACATGCTCTACTTCTCCACACATGCGCCCAGCGCCTACAGCCGGGTCAGTGACAGGGCGGGGGCACAGCAGGAGGCCCAGCTAGGCCGAGTCAGGTTCTTGGCTTGACTCCCCGCCCACATCCTCTGTCCCATGCCAGTTCGTGCTGGAGAACAGCAGCCGTGAGGACAAGCACGAGTGCCCTTTTGCCCAGAGCAGCATCCAGCTGACTGTGCTGTTGTGTGAGCTGCTGCATGTTGGGGAGCCCTGTGAGTGCAGTGGGCACAGCGTGTCTAGAAACGGGGGGCGGAAGGGCAGAGAGGGCCAGGGGCTGCATACACTTCCTCCCTGGGCCCCTCCTGCCCCCCTGCTCCAGGCTCCGAAACAGCACAGGACTTTTCACCCATGTTCTTCGGCCAAGACCAGAGCTTCCATGAGCTCTTCTGTGTGAGCATCCAGCTGCTGAACAAGACCTGGAAGGAGATGCGGGCCACACAGGAGGACTTTGACAAGGTGGGTGGGCTGGGAGAGCTGGGCTAGGGCCGGCCGCCGTTGGGAAGGATCCAGAACCCGGCCCTGGGATGAGCTTAGTCTTGGGTCTTAGGTCATGCAAGTGGTGCGGGAGCAGCTGGCCCGCACCCTGGCCCTGAAGCCCAGCTCCCTGGAGCTCTTCCGCACCAAGGTGAACGCGCTCAACTACGGGGAGGTGCTGCGGCTGCGGCAGACAGAGCGGCTACACCAGGAGGGCACGCTTGCCCCTCCCATTCTGTGAGCTGGTGGGGACGGGTCCAAGCCTAGCCCCCACCCCACCCCCGGGGCCTTGCTCCTGGTCAGTCCTGGTCAGCGAGCCCCCTTGCCCTGCCCAGGGAGCTGCGGGAGAAGCTGAAGCCGGAGCTCCTGGGCCTGATCCGCCAGCAGCGTTTGCTTCGCCTCTGCGAGGGGACACTCTTCCGCAAGATCAGCAGCCGGCGGCGCCAGGGTTGTTGAGTGGGCAGGAGGGGGGGCAGAGGGCAGCGGGGGCCGGGGCCCCTCTCATCTCTCGCTCCTCCCCTTTCTGCCCGCAGACAAGCTGTGGTTCTGCTGCCTGTCCCCTAACCACAAGATGCTGAATTTTGGAGATGTGGAGGAGGGCACCAGCCCGCCTGCCCCAGAGAGTCTGCCTGAGCAGGGTAAGGGGGGCACAGGTCAGAAACCTGCTCTCCCTAGACCACCCTGGGCCCCGTGATGAGCCCTGAATTCTTCCCGCAGTCCCTGTGGCCGACATCAGGGCACTACTGACAGGCAAGGACTGCCCCCACGTGCGGGAGAAGGGCTCAGGGAAGCAAAACAAGGTGAATGCAGGGGGGCACAGGGGCCCCTTCCCACCCTCCAGCCCTGCTCCGCCCCTGCTCAGTGTTCCTGACTCCATCGCTCCCCCCAGGACCTCTACGAGTTAGCCTTCTCAGTCAGTTACGACCGTGGGGAGGAGGAGGCGTACCTCAACTTCATTGCCCCCTCCAAGCGGGAGGTGAGTGTCAGGGGGGCTGAGTGGAGCTGGCAGGTGGACAGGGGAAGAGGTGGGCTGGCCCTCATGGAACTGGCCCCCTCCCCAGTTCCACCTGTGGACAGATGGGCTGAGTGCCCTGCTGGGCAGTCCTATGGCCAGTGAGCAGACCCGGCTGGACCTGGAGCAGCTCCTGACCATGGAGACCAAGCTGCGCTTACTGGAGCTGGAGAACGTGCCCATCCCGGAGCGGGCTCCTCCCATCCCCCCGCCACCCACCAACTTCAACTTCTGCTATGACTGCAGCATCACTGAACCTTGACAGTCGGGGGCCGAGGGCCACAGCTGCTGCCACCGTGGCAGCCGTTTAGGGGAGAGGGTGGAGTGCCGACACTGACCGGTGGGCTGCAGCAGAAATAAAAGTCTGTCAGCCAGCTCTGCTGTGGTGGGCCATGAGCTTGGCTGCTGATTGCCGGGCTGTGTCAGGCTGCAGCCGCACTTAGGGCCACAGACTTGGCATGACAGTGGAGGGGCTGGTGTTTTCAAGAGGGTTCGGGACGGGCTGGCCCTTGTCCTTCACCAGATGAGTCCTCAGCCTCCCTCTGTGCTAGGCCGGCAGAGGGGATGGCCTCAGGCCTAGCGGCACCTGCCAAGAGGGAGTTGAGACTGCCAGTCAGGCGAGGGAGAGTGGCAGGGTAGGAGGTGCCACCCTGCAGACACCTGCGCACTATCACAGGGCCTAGTCTGGCCGTCATGTACCCAGGCCTGAGTGTCAGAGCTCAGCGCTCACCTGCCTGGCCCTGCATCGGTTGGACTCCAAGGCTCTCTGGGTGAGATGCAGGGAGGGAGACCTGCGAAGCTGGTCTGCTTTGTGCTGACGCTCAAATGCAAGATTCTCAAAGGATCTATTTCTGGCTGCATGGAGGATATGACTGATTTTGACAAAAGGGGATTCAATGCAGAAAGCCCTGTGCTCTAACTAAACCCAAAGCGGGAGCAGGGAGGAAGTGGGTGGCCACAGACAGGCCAGAGTCCCTGGGCACCCTCAGGCTGGGGGCGAGAGAGGGCTCCAGGCTTCAGGAGCCTCCCACCTTATGGGGAAGCGGCTTAGACCTGCTGGGAGTGCCAGTGGGCTTTGAGATTGCCTATGTGGCTCTGGTGTTCCTACCACATTGCCCCTGGGCTGGGGTACTTGAACTTAGATGGGAAAGGGAGGGGCCCTTTAGTCTGAGAACTTCAGATAAGGAGATAACATCTAGACTTTTAATCTTATTTGGGTTTACAACAAAGCCTGGGTCTGCTGTTAAAGCTCCTTGGGGAAGGATGTGGGGTACATGTGGCTATGAACAGCCAGAGTGGGCAGCCCCCCTCTGGGCCTGGCCTCTGGGCTAGGGCCTTACCAGGAGAGCAGGAACTGGCATTTCCAGGGGCTTGTGGTGGCAATAGATAGCTGGAATGAGGCTCCCCTGGGCTGACCTGGACTAGTGCCAGCCGCAGTCCTAGAAGAGGGGAATATAGCTTGGGGAAGAGGCTCTGAGGTATGTAGTAGAGGCAGGTGTGATGGAATCGAACTCCAGGTTAAGAGGCCAACCCTGGGACTGGGAGGCCACAGGGCTCGTTACTGACCTGGTCTCAGAGAGTAAGGGTCAGGTCGGCCCCTCCCACGAAGCGGGACTGGACGCAGGTCACTTGGGGCAGCTGTGCTTGAAAGCGCCTGACTGCAGCCATGCTGATACCGGGGCACATGGCCACATCTAGCACCTGGAGCTGCTTGCAAGCATGCCCGATGGCATCCAGTGTTCTGTGGGGAGGCCACTGGCTGAGCAGGAGGCCTCGGGGACCCCAGCCCAACCCTGCAATGTGGCTTCACCGTGTACACTCACTGCTCCGTGAGCTGACTGCAGCTGGACAGGTTGAGGTGCTGCAGTCTTGGCCAGCAGCCAGCAGCCTGGGCCCAGCCCTCATCGCTGAGGAGGTTGCAGTGACTCAGTGCCAAGCGCTCCAGGCTGGGGCAGCCCCTGGCCACAGCCACCAAGCCCTTGTCTGTGAGTGCTGGCAACAGGCTCAGTGACAGCTTCCTCAGTTGGGTGAACTGGAGCACCTGTAAGGAGAGGGTGAGGGTACAGTCTGGCACTGGAGCCCAGAACCAGCAGCCCTTCCATGCTCCCCACCTCCAGCCAAAGGCCCAGCCATCAGAAGCCATTGAGAAAGGAACTCTAAGGAAAAATTTTCTAAGCGAAACAGCTTGCCCTGGGCCCCTGGCTCCAGCCTCAGGATCCTCAGCCTCCCCATACCCACAGTGGCACACCTTGGCCAAGCTGGCATCTGTCAGCTTGCTGCAGGCTGTGAGGTCCAACTCCTGCAGGTCTTGCAGCACGAGCAGGGAGGGGCCCTTAGGCTGGGGAGAAGGGTCCTCGGGGTCAGAGGCCTGCCAGTCCAGCTCTCGGTGCGGCTGTGGGAAGAAGCCCCTGTTCCTCGGGTGTCCCTGAGGTATCCCTTAGAGGCTCAGGAGGGAAGGAGGACGGCTGAGCCCTACCCACCATGACCTTGGGGTGCCGCACCTGGGCACCTTGCACAGACTCCTTCCTTGGCTCCTCCAGCCCCAGAAGCCCCCAGTCATGGAGCTCCTTGCACCAGGACAGGCGCAGAACTGACAGGTGGGTGAGGTAGGTACAGATGGCCTGCACGGTCCGGTCGGTGAGGGCCACACAGGAAGACAAGTCTAGCACCCTGAGGCTTGGGCCCAGAGCTGGCATCAGGGCAAACACTGAGGCATCCTAGGCGGGGAGTGGAGGGAACGAGCAATGGAGAGGTGCTGTGCCTGTGTCACAGGTTCGTGGGGGTCACCAGGAAAGGTCCTCCCCAAGGTTCCAACCCCGCAGGCAAGAGGAAGTCACTAGAGGTCTACAGAAGGAAGCACCATGCTCCCCGTGCTGGTAAGGGGGGGGTCTGCAGGGGTGGGACCCCAGAAACAGTCTGGTGGTAGACAAAGGCCTAGATTGGCTGGGGCAGGGAGGATGCAGGTGGCAATTTCTAAAGTATCTGCCTCACCTCTGCTCCCAGAGCCCACTGAAGGGCTGTCAGCCCAGTGCCCGGTTTATTGGACCGGGGGTGGGCATCTGACCGTAGCTGAGCCAACTAGGTATGTTCCCGCTAGAATCTGAAGTAGGGATGTGAGGTCCTGGGGGCGGCTGCCAGCTGGCAGGAGCAGTCAGGTGTGGGGGACCGCAGCTAAGGGCAGCACAGAGCAGGCTGGTTTGCAAAGATGCAGATGGGGCCTCAGAGAGCCGCCGAGACACGTGGGGCAAAGGGAAGGTGGAGCTGGGCAGTTGTGGCACAGGTTGAGACGGTTTTCAGCTTAGGAAAGGCCTGGTCCAGCTGAAGGGCTAATCCTTTAGAGAAAGGGCAACTGGCACTGCCACGCGGGCTCTTCTGAAGGGGGCTGGCTTCCGCAAAGCAATGATCTTGCTTCCACATCACCAGACGGCCCTGGGGTCCTGACCCAGCACCTTGTGTGACCTTGTGCCCCTCCTGGGATGGGCTAGGTCTGGCCACCTCTCACCAGCCTTCCCTGCCTTCAGAACACTCGCCCTCAGTATACCTGCCTGACCTGGAGGGGTCATGGAAAACAGCCTGTGAGGTGTGTAGGCTTGGCCATTCCAGTCTCTGGGACCTCCCTCTCCAGTGGCTCCCTCTCCAGTGGCTCGCAGCACTGCCTGCCTTTCTCTTCTAGATGTCCCAAGGTCAGTTCTAATGACTATTTCTTGGCCACAGCGCCAGGCAGTTAGTGCCTTGCTGGTGCCACACATCCAGTCCCTCCAGCTCCCGCCCTACTGAGGAAGGATGGAGGGCTCACCTTCAGTGAGGAACAGTAGGCCAGGCTGAGGGAGGCCAGTGGGGGCGGAGCTCCAGGGACCGAGCCCAGCGCCCGGGCCAGTTCCCGCCCGCTGACCAGGCAGCACTCGGCCATGTCGAGGCTCTGCAGCTCCCGCAGGCCCCCCAGGGCGACACACCCCACATCTGTCAGCCGCTGCAGTTTCCTCAGGCTCAGGCGCTGCAGATGCTGCAGGCCCCGGCACACAGCCAAGAGGGCCCCGTCAGAGAGTTCTGAGCAGCCGCTGAGGTCCAGAGAGGTGAGGCCTGGCTGTCGACGGCAAAGGGCAGCCACGGCCTCTGTGGAGAGCTCCCGGCAGCTGTGCAGGCTCAGCTCCTGCAGCTGCAGCCCATTCACCTGGCTCAGGGCCTGCAGGGCCTCTGGAGGCAAACCAGTGCCACTCAGGTCCAGGGACTGCAGCATCCTGGCCCGTCCCTTCACAAATTGTAGCAGGTTGCGGAAGGAGAGTTGGGAGGGGGAGGAGTTGTCAGGGTTAACGAAGCCCCTGGTTGGGCCTGACTCAAAGGTGAGGTGGCAGTAGGCCAAGGAGAGACTCTCCAGGCTGGGGGTACAGCTGCTCAGTCGGTTGAAGCTCAGGTCAGCCAGGTCCCGCAAGCCAGCCAATTTGAGCTCACGGAGGCCGCTCAGTGCCCGGTGGACCTGCTGGGCCGTCTCAGGCTTTGCTAGCAGTGTGCCTGGCTTGAAGAGGCTGTTGCAGCCACTGAGGTCCAGGGCACGCAGGGCTGGGCAGGCCAGGACCAGGGTCACAAAGGAGGCCTCTGTGGGGCTGCCCCCACCAAGGCACAAACTCTGCAAGTGTGGGCCCAGGTGGTAGGCAACAGATTGCAGCACCTGGTGCGAGGTGGGCGAGCTGTCCAGGTTGGTCAGGCTGACGCAGGAGATGCCCCTGCGGCCTAGGCTCTTGATGGCCGGAATGGAAGCAGAGGACACCGGGATGTTGTACTGCACATTTGCCTAGAGGGTAACAGGTCTGGGGTGAGCTCTCTGGCCTCAGAGGGCTCTGGGCTTTGTGTCTGGGGGCAAGTTGCTGGCCAGAGGTTGAGGCAGAGCAGGTCAGGAAAGGACCCTTCACCTATGTGGTGTCAGGTATAGTGCAAGGAGGCACCTGTGAGAAGTGGGAGCTGGGAGGACAAGTCACACCAGGGCTCAAAGGAGAGGACTCTGAGGGGAGGGCAAGGAGGTGAGTGATGGACAGGACTGGATGCCTATGCAGCAGGAGCAGAGAGGGGCGCTGGCATGCTGGGCGCAGGCAGGGTGGAGGCCTAGTGAGGCCCACAGGGGCAGAGGAGGACACAAGGCAGGGCCCCAAAGTTTAGGGCTCTCAGGAGGCTCAGAGACCCATGGGCTCAGCCTACCCCAGGATGCAGAGCTTGGTGTTAGCTAAGCAGCCAGCTTCCCAGAGGGCCGAAGGCAGGGAGAAGAGGCAGCGCCTCTCGCCACACCCCTGCGGCCTAGATGTCAGCGGTGCAGCAGGCAGTGAGGCTGGGTCCCTGTGGCCTCAGTGTCTCAAACACATGAATGTTTGCAAAAAATGGTTTTTGAGTGAAAAATGCATGCACAGGCCCCAGAGCACTGAGTCTCTAGAGGATCCATCTACCTGTCCAGACGGGACAAGAAAACTTCCCTGTTGCAGAAGCTAACAGAATGAGCATTAGAGGTGCCAAGGAGGTGAGCTGCCCTGCTGTGGAGGGACAGGAAAATAAGTGGGCAGCACATAACTGGAGTGGGGTGGGCCAGGGAGGCCAGCCCAGGGCTGAGTTGTAGGAATAGGCTGGCTTATGTAGGAATTGGGGCAGGGGCAGTTTTCCCAGAACTGTCTCTGATTTTTCTGCCATGGGGGGCCAAGAGGGAGTTGATACAGGTCTGTGGCAGGGGAGGGAGAAGAGGGTCTGGCATCTACACTCCTTGCCCCATTTCTCCACCTCCAATGGGTGCCGGTGGCAGGCAAGTGGTTCTCAACGAAGCCTCGTTTCAATGTAGCGGCACGACCCTGAAGCTGGATGGCCAGCCCTCTGAAAACCTGTCTCGTCAGTGACCACAACGGATGTCCTCTGCTTGTGACCCACAGAGCTTCACCCAAAGGGAACCAATTAGGAAGGCAGAAGTGACAAGTGACATGCTCTCCTCCCCAGGAGCCCCTAGGAAGCCACAGGCACCTCGTCCCCAGCTGTGGAGCAATGGTCCGGCTTCTACAGAGGCGAGTAGCCACCCATGGCTGTCAGCACGAGCATGGTGAGACAGGGATGACTCCTGGCTGCTTGCACAGGAGTTAGGGGTCAAACCAGCTTCCGGTTCTAGACCCCATTCCCAGAATGTGGTCATTGTGGATGAGAGGGGCACTCCACAGCTCCCTTGTGGTCACTGAGGTCGTGAGGACACCCTAGGGCCTACATACCTCAGATTTAAGGAGAGCTGGGGAGGAAAGCTAAAGCATGCCCCAGCCATGTCAGAGGCATGACAGATGGGCATGTGACCTGGCTGCCAGAGGGCAGAGGTGCTAGGTGGTGAGGAAGCACCTACACCCCCCCGCCAGGCACTTGCCACCCCAGAAGGCCCCAGCTCCAGCAGTCTTCAGTCATCCTCCATCCCTTCCTTCCTGAGCCTTGGCAGGGGGGAATGTCCTCCCCTCACTCACCACCTCCCAACGAACAAGGCAGGTAAGCAGTGGAGAGGGCACTGGCAGTCAGCTTAGGGTCCGAGACCAGGCGGGCCTGTGGCAGCAAGTCACCCAGTCAGAGGGCAGGGCCCAGCCTACAGGATTTTCCAAACTGCAGGTGGTGGTAAGATCTGAGACTGTCTCCCGCCCAACTGGTCTACTCTGGACTCAAAGTACAGGAGCTCAGCGACAGCCTTTTAGGAGTATCTGTCATCTCTGGGGGACTGAGCAGCAGGCAGAAGAGACCTGGATGCTGGTCTCTGGACCCAGAAACTTTCTCTTTCCCAGTCCTATGAAGAAGCTTCCAGAAACCCAAGAGAGGACTGCAAGGCTCTCTGCTCCAGCTTCACCTGCCCCATCCACACAGGGATCAGCTAGACCTCTCCAGGCCCTTAGGAGAACAGCAAAATCACTTGGGAGATGCTCTAAACCTGCTGCAATGGCGCATGGTCCTTGCGGGCGGCAAAGTGTTGTGCCTGGTGAAGTCCTACGCTGAGACTGCAGGCCTGGCGCAGACTGGAGAAGCCATCAATACGTCAGCCCTGCTGCCCGCCACGTTAGGAACCTTTCCCAGAAGGCCTTTGGGAACGCCTGGTACCCAGGGGCTCGGATCGCGAGAATAGAGTATACTTGGTGATGGTTTCCAGCAGCTGCAGCAGGTTGAAGAGCATCTGAGGTTCATTAACACCTCAGGTAGAAGGCAGCTGAGGGGCAGCAGCTGGGCCATTCTGAAATCTTCAGTGACCAACCCAGGGCCAGGCAATCAGAGCTCCTCTGGCATGGCAGAGCCTGGGTATGTATGCGGGTGCTGCCTTTACCTACCTTACCTAGGGAAAAATGGGATTAAGAGGGTCAGGTGAACAACCTAGCCTGGCTTGGTGAGGCAGACTCTGCCACAGTACCCATTAGGCAGGGTACCACCTTTCTTACCAATCTGCCCACACCTGGGCCCTGGCAGATGGTTCCTGCCAAGTGGACTCAGCAGTTTATTCTGCTGGGCATGGTGGTGGTAGGATGCCTGCAGGACATGAGATGCCCAGGTGCCCTGGCCTGGCCTCTCAACTGCTAGGCTGGGAAGCTGAGTTTTGCAGACACCAAACATGTCTTTGCCAGTGTTCTCAAACTGACTGGCCTCCTCTCTTCACTGTCTTGCTGCTATTCCAACCTCACACATAGTCCTGGGTTCTCACCTGACCCCATCATGCTGCTGTGCCCGTTCCCCCCACTGTCCAGCCAGGGGTGGCTGCCTCTGTGCTGGGGATACAGAATTCTGCCGAGAAAGCAATGGTCTCCCTCCCTGCCCACATCGTCAGCAATGGCTCCCCCATTCCACCATCTCCCTATCCCCTGCTCTCTTCTCACACCCTCCTCAAGATCTCTCTGCAAGCCCCCAATCTTCTCCAGCTGTGGGCAACCATGCCTTCACCAAGGCTTTTCAGACATGATCTGTTCTGTCTCAAAAAGACCAAGGCGGGACTTCCTGGGGGAGCAGAGGTTTGAGTCTTAGCACAGTGAGGCTATCTCCAGCCTCTGCAGCACAAGTTCCATCCCCAGCCAGGGAGCTGACCCACATGGCCCAGCAGACCTCTCCTGTCTCACCTGCTGCTCCCCTCAGCAGTGGATTTCAGTCAGTTGCCTGTTCTGCTCCCCACTCTGTCTCTGGTAAATCTTCTTACTCTCCACACCGCTGGCCTACACCCCAGTTCTTGTATGCATAAATAAAAATTTATCTTAAAAAAAAAAAAAAAAGACCAAGGCTGGGCAGGCCCTCCTTTTTCCCTGTTCCCATCCACCAGCCAGCACCTGACGGGACTCCTCTCCTCTCCTGCTTTCTGGTTCGAGGTGACGGCCTTCTCCAGCCCCACTGAGCCGCCCCGTACCTTCTCCCAGGACCTGGCAGTCTCTGCCTCTGCATTGCCCCTTCCGCACACAGACCACAAACTCCTGGAAGTCTGAAACAACAGAAGGTTCCCCTTGAGTCTGTTCCCTCTTCTCACCTCTCCTGCTCTCCCCTTCCCTCCCAGTCATGCTTTGGGGAAGCTTGTGCGCTGCCCACACCTGCCTGGCCACCTACGGACCCTTCCGCCTCGGGCCCAAAGAATCACTCCCCTCACCGCCCTCCCGTGAGTGTCCCCTCCTCCATGATTCCACGATGGATGGCCAGTCTCCCCCAGTGCTGGGGGTTCTGCCTCCACCCTCCTGGGTCGCCTACCTTCTAGCCTGCTATCAGCCTCTTACAGGGTTACCACAGAAGAGCCCCAGTCCACTGATGAGTGGGTCACCCCCATGTTTGTTCCCCTCCACCACACACAGACACATCCACACCCCCGTCCCCTCCATGGCCACCCTGGCAGACTGCACCTCATCCTATCCCAACTCTACCTGTGAACCGCATCCTTTCCAGAACAGCAGGCCCTGCGCCAGCCATCTGCTGGCCCTCTCAGACACACAGATACACCCTGGCCAGACAGAACTCACTGTCTTACCTCTGCCCCCACCAGTCAGAAACCTGGGATCCCAGACCCGCCTCGTGCCCACCTCACTACCAAGGGCCCTCCCATTCATCTCCTTATGCGATTCTAAACTGTCCCTGTGCCACCTCAGTGCCCCAGCGTTGGTGTAGGTCTCTTTATTCTCTCAGAAATATGTCATAGCAGCCTCCTCCTTACTGGGGTCCTGGCCTCCAGGACCGCTGGCTCCAGTCTACTGTGTTTTGTCGCTGTACTTGTGCAACCCTGGGGTAGTTTTGCAGGGGCAGAGGCTGAGCTGTCTGGGGCAGCCTCCAGCTGAGTCCTGCTCCTACTTTCTCATGCTGCTCCCCTGCTCTCCCAGCCCCCCCACACCCCTCCCTGCTCTGGGAAGGCAACCACTTTCCCTGGTGGTGTTCCCCCTCACCTCTGCCTGCTAGTCTAGTTATCAAATGTTTATTCCTCTGAGGAGTCAGCACAAGCACCCTTCTCCCTGCCTTTTAAAAATCTGTTCTCCACATCCCATCGTCTCACCAGACTGGGCTCAGAGCTCAGTGCTCATGCCATCTCCTTTCACTACCAACTCTGAGTGCTGTATCCCCCAGCCCTGCACCCACAGGCCAGCACATGCAAGGCCCCTCAGGCACCACCATCTGAGGGAGGCCTTTCTCTGTGTCTCTGGTGAGCTTGCCATTTTCCTCTGCCCTGTGAGGCCTGGCCTCTCTTCTCACTCCCAAGACAAGTTGGCTTCCAGATTCACCAAGACATTAGCCTTGAGGAACTTCCTCAGCAAACGGCTCCACACTGCCATTCCCACATCCCCTTCCTGAGGGAGGTGCCATCCCCTTCATCCTAACCCAACCCTGTTGACTGAAGCGGTCTCTGCCACCATCGCAGGTGGCACCCACCCCACCATTCCTGGAATCTCTTCTTCCCATACTCACTCCTTTGCCAGTGACCCCCCCCCCCAACCTCGGCATATCAGACACATCTGACTTTTCTCCCAATCAAAATCCTTTTGGGGCCTTGCTAGTGGTGCAGGGTCAAGTCTCAGCACCATGAAGCTATCTATAGCCACTACAGCACAGGCTCCATCCCCAGTGACCCACATGGCGCAGCAGATTCTCTCCTGTCTCGCCCAATGCTCCCCTCAGCAGTGGATTTCAGTCAATCTGCCTGTCTTGCTCCCCACTCTGTCTCTGGTGAATCCTCTCACCCCAAACACATCTGGCCTATACCCAGTTCTTGTATGTTTTTTAAATGAATCTTAAAAAAAAATCCTTTTGTCAAATCCACCTCAATCTCTCAGTAAAGCCTATTAATTTCTTTTGTGGGGAAATTTCTCGCAAATTCGGTCACTCACTACATTTCATTTCTTCTAATTCATTACTCGACCCACCTGGCCTTTTTCCTGATGCCAAATGTTGCTGAAGCCCCTGGAAACTGTGGAAGTCACGCACCGTGGACACTATCTTTTTCATTTCCTGGACTCTTCATGAGATTGGACAGTTAGTGACCCACTCAGCACTTACATGCTGCCTGGCTTTAGCTTCTGCGCCAGCTCCCTGTGCGGGTGACCCTCGGGTCACGTGGGCGGCTGCCCCCCCCACCAGGGTGTGCCTGCGGCCTGCTGTGTCTATGGCTCTTCAGGCTCTCCTGGGTGATGTTACTTTGAGCCCTGCCTCCAACTACTCCTATTCTTTAACGACAGCCAATCTATATTTATTATCCAGACCCTTCTCTTGAAGTCCTCACCCAGAAATCCAACTACCAACTAAAACTCACCATCTGTGCTTACACATCAAATTTTCAACAAGTCCAAGCCACGTTCCTTTAGACAATGTCGACAAAGATCCAACTCACACACACATTTAATCTGTGACAGGAGGATTCCAACCCAGCAGGGAAAGGAGAGATTACAAATAATGATATTTTTGCCATTTGAAATGAATCAGTTTGGTTTCTTACCTTGTAGCATAAATCAAAAGAAATTCTACCAAATACAAAATACAAAAAAAAAAAACAACAAAAAAACAAAAACAAAAACTCAAGCCATTAAATGGAAGAAACAAGTTTGAAGCTAAAGATGTTCTTTAAAAATATAGTCTATTTAAAAAAAGAAGAAAAATTTGAGTATATTTATCAAATTTCTGAAGCAAGGGACCACTACATTTAAAAAATAGGGGAAGAAAAAAAATAAACAAGGGAAGAAACACGAAAGAAAAGGAAGTTGAGAATCTAACAGCAGAAATTTAACCTCTGTATCTCATACACAAATACATACCTACAAATCAAATCAAAAGGCAAACACACTAGACATATATTCAATAAACATGTAAATGATTATTCTCTTTAATGTGTAAAAAGTTCATACAAGTAGATATGAAAAGTACTAAGACCCCAATAATTAAATGGATAAAGAACACAAATAAGAGGGAAATATAAATGATGAGCTCATGAGAAAACTGTTCAACCTCAGTAATATCAAAGAAATCATGATTAAAACAAAGAGCTACTACTGCTCGCCTTTCAAATCAGCACAGATGTCTGCCTTTACCTGCTGGCGGGGCCGTCTCCCTCCCTCTGACTCACGCTCTCTCATCTGCTCTGCACTTCAGTTCTCAGGCAGAACTCACACCATGTCACTCCCCTGCCTGAACATTCTTTTAAAAGCTCCATGACAGAAGCTGGGAGAAAACCCAGCACTGTTGGCGGGTGCATCTGCCAGTGCTTCTCCATGTGCATGCAAGTTCCAGTCATACAGAACCGACGTGGCCATTTGCAGAACGATTTCACACCTTGGGTCCTTCACCTGTGCTGTTACCAGTCCTGAAAGACCAACCTGCATCCTCACCCTGTTCCTTCAGGAAGCCTTTCCTGATGCTCCAGGCTTGTCTGGATGTCCTTCGCCAATTTTCATTGCACAACTTCATCCCACTGTCACAGCATTGAGCACACACCATGATCACTCACACACTTGTTTCTCCTTCACTGGACTCAGCTCCTCGGGAGAGGGGAGAGAGCCTTATTCATTGAGACAGCCCCACACTGCACGCAGAGCTGAATATGTATGAATGTAATGGTGTATGAACGTGTATGCATGAACGGTGGGTGGCCGAAATATGAGCAGGGCCATGGTCAAGCTGAGGTGGGAGGCAGCTGGAATGGGCCAGGGGAAGGTGGGCACCTTACCTCCCGAAGGGCATTCTGGAATGCACAGTACCAAGCCCGACTCACGAGGGAGGCCTCTTTCTGATCTGACAGAGGCAGGAAGCTCAGAATATATGTGAGCATCTGAGGGAAAAAGACAGGGCATTGGGGGCTAGTAGAGTTGCTGTAGGAGTTGGGGGTGGGAGCTTTGGAACCTTCTCCAGCAGAGAGCACAGTAGGTCTGGGGGGCTGGAGTACTGGCTTCAAGTTCATCCAGGACCCTGAGCTTCATAATCTTTACTTCCCCTCTCCAATCTCCAGGCAGCTTTACTGTGAACAAATCTTTCCTGAACCTGTCCAGATGCAAGTTTGTACTGACTGATACAAACCAATCCTGTTCAATCTGGTTAAAAAAAAGCCTGAGTGTTAGGACCAAATGAACCAGTTCACATCCTTAGTCTATCAACTGACCTCTCTGAGCTTTGTTTTCCTTATCTGTAAAATGACCACTGAGGTTTAAATGGGTTATTGTGAGAATTAAACAACATAGTAAAATGTCTTGCATAGGATCTAGAACTCAGCAAAGAGTTGCTCATCTCTTTGGGAAACAACACCCCTTCCTTCTGCCCTGACAAGTCTGGCTTAAGACCTTCCTCTTTTCCCATCTTCTCCACTGCCAACTTGACATGTGAGCGGGCTGTGAAGACAGAAGATTAGTTTGGGAGACTTATGCCCTCACTCCACCTACATTCTATAAAGTTGTGGACGTTGAAGCTGGGGCCCTCTGTGGGCTGCGAGGCTACAAATTGTCTTATAGTAACTGTTCTGCTGGGATCTTCCCTCCTTAACTCCTTTGACCTTGTTTTTTTCCCAGGGCTTGACCCAGCATTCCAATTACCCTGTTTCAGGATTCTTCTGTGGTTCTGTAAGCTCAGACTTGGACCTTTTGACCTATCTACTTCTTAGAATAATAGAACATTATTAAAAAACATTCATTTGCATGGCTACAACAGTTATCGCTACAGGAATAATCAACAATTCAATATCCCCATCTTTCCCTATCATTCAAGTGCTAGTCTAGTATTACTGTCCACAGATGCCTTCCCCCAATATTCATCTTCTACCTCAGTCCAAAGCAACTCCTCCTAACTTTCCAGTGTCTAAGCTTCCTTGCCAAAAGTGCATCTGGCTTCAAGAAGCTGACAGTACTTCAATTTCTCTTGTTCTTCTGTCCCTTGCTTTCAAAACAGGAGTAAAGCACGGGCTTCAGGCCAAGCTAATTAGTATCACTAATCCCAGGTCCACTGTACGAGCTGTGTTGGCTGTGTGTGCGAAGGCAAGTTACTTCTCTGAGCCTTAATCCCTATATCTGTAAAATGCAGATATTAAAATTTCTAGATCATAGTTTTAGGGGGATTAAATTATACATACAAATGCATTATTTATATTTATTTCTGTTTAATAGATATGATGTGCTTGTCATCTACTAGCTGTTCCATAAATGGTTGCTGAATTGCTATTACTAATTTTCCTGCCTTTCAAACTTTACTAACTTGGTCATCTAGATCTTCATTACCCTAGACCTGGATTCCTTTCACAATCTCCTGCCTGACCTTCCTTGCTTCCCAGGCTCAGTCTTGTTATCATTTTGCCTACCATCACAAGCTTAATTTTCTTGAAAAACAGCTTTCAGCTCTAGTACACCCCTGAAAAAAACACCTTCAGAGTTCCCTGGGCTCCTCTGGACAGTCTCTACTCCTGGGTCAGCACTGCCAAGCCTCTACTCCTCACTGGGCTCCTGACTCTCAAGTTCCCCCAGCAGTCTCTCCACTATCCTACAAATACAGCGTGTCCTCTCTTTTTGGCTATGTGTACTTTTTTCCCTGGAACACCCTTCTTAGGCTTGACTTCACCAGACCATTCTTTTTGGTGCTCCCAGATCTTTTCTTTCTTCCCCTAGCACAAATGAACTCAGCCAGTACTCACTGGGCTGAATTAAAGTTGGACAGTTCTCTACCTCTATGTTCACCAAAGATTTGTTCAGGGAAGGGATAAAGAGATAAAACAGATGGTTACTGAGAGGGAAATGGGAAGAACAGCATTCTGGGAGGCCAAGCATGAGGAACAGAACTGACAAATTGTCCCATTCCCAGGGGGAAACAGGAAAAGCCAGTTTAAGCCTATTAAGACAGTGGCCATCCTGTCTTCAGAGGGCAGCAGTGAACCTGAGGAACAAAGGGAATAAACCTGTCCTCACTGAAGGGCGGGAGAACAATTATTTATGATAAGGATGGTGTGGCTATCCTATGAACTCCACCCCAGGGGACGACTGCATATATTACTGATCATCCCTGGGATTCATGGGGATGAAGTGGAAATCTTCTGGGATTAAGGAGAAAAGGAATGCCATCATCAGGAGCTTAATGGGGTGAAATCATTGTTACGTCTTGCTAAGGGGAAGCAGTACCATTCCAGGGCCACGGGAAAAGTGGCATGTCTCCTGTGGGCAGCTGGAGATGGCTGTCAATTCAGGAAAAAGGGGTGGGGGAGGCCATCTTAAGAAGACAGACCCAATTATGTCTCTCAGGCCAATGGTGGCAGAGAGTTCTTGTCCAGAATAAGGAAAAGGAACAACATCTCATGGGGTGAAGGAGGTAGGGACAGCCATCACTAACTGTCAAGGGAGTAAGAGTAGGTCTGTCCTTGGTGAAGGAGCCCAGCGCCCCTGGATGGAATCGATGGTAGGGGACAGCTATTTCTCCAGACGAAGAGGATGGGATAACTATCCCAACGGGCCAGTGGGGATAAGATGAATTACCCTTCGGGGACGATATGATGGAGAGGACATCTCCCAGAACTGAGGGGGAGGGTGGCCATCTCTAGAGAAGGCGGGTAGGCAGAAGGCCGGTTCTCGCTGACGTGATGGAGGAGGCATCTCCTGGGGCCGATGGGTGGGGTACAAGAGGCTGGTACCCCAAGCTAATGGGACGAAGTGGCCCAAAGGCGGGACCGTTACCCAAGCTTGAAGGTCCTGGGATCTCCCGGGAGGCTCGTTTCCGCCTGGCGGACGGGGCCGGACAAGCTGTCTGATGGTGCCCCCCCACAGCCTAGGACCTGAGAGCCGGGTCTGTCCGGAAAAAGGCCTGAGGGCAGCCTCCTCTCACCTCCAGGGGCAGCGACTCCGCCATCGCATCGCTGCCGCCTCAGCCCCCGCGAAAGTCTTTCTGGGAAGTGTAGTCCTACCGACTCTTGGGGCGGGGCTTGTGAAGGAAGTGCCCCCACTTCCGTCTCAGTTGTGACGATTAAGGTCTGCACCGGAAGTGGCTGTTCTGCCGATGTGGTATCTACTGATTGCGGTTTCGGTCGCCCTCCCTCGTTTTCCTGGCTGGGTATTTGCGTCGCACCATGGCGGTAAGGAGGGCTGGTAGGGTGGGGTGCTCGTCGGCAAAGCGCTCCCACCCCGGAGCTGGGATTCTGAAAATAGGAAGAGTATTAAGAGAAGCGTGTCGGCTGAGATGAGGGGGGTGGGGCATCCAGTAATCGGACCGTAATAGAGCGAGGTTGGGAGTAAAAGGGTGTAGGACCGTATCGGAACCGGTGCCGGAGGCCGTGATCGTTGATAGAAATGAGAGGCCTGCGTGCGAACACCCTCAAGCATCAAATTAGATATGCATTATTCTAGCAGAGGCTGGAGAGGAGCACCATTCAGCTCCAGTCACTAGTTCCCGCGAAAAGGTCGTCGTCAGCTGGACGTTACTAGGGGAGCAGGACCTTACCAGTGGAGCAGGAGATCTCAAACTAGTGTTTGTGGGCCTATTCCCTGGGCAACAGAAGGCTGTAATAGCTAGTGGTGCTGGATGGATGGTATTAGCCCTCAGTAGGATACAATGGAGCAAGAATTAACATCCCAAGATTTGTGCTGGGTTCAAACACTATGAGGACATGGCTTAGGTGCAGTTGAAATTCTGTAACCAAAATGGTGGGAAGAGCGAGGAGGGTTCTACCACATTTAACTATTCCTCTGCAGCCTAAGGGAAAAGTGGGCACAAGAGGGAAGAAGCAGATATTTGAAGAGAACAGAGAGACTCTGAAGTTCTACCTACGGATCATACTGGGGGCCAATGTGAGTACTTGCCTCCTTGCTCTGGTGCCCACCCAAGGGCCCACAGTTCTCAGCTCTGTTTGGGGAGGGGGGGAGTGAAGGCAGTTTTGTTATAGGGCACCTCAATTCTGTTAGAGGACAGGGGGAGAGAAAGAGGCACCCTTGAAGCCCCAAAACCTGCCTGCTCTAAGTGGGTTCTGCCATCCGCTGCAACAAGACAAAACATATAAAGCTTTAATGAAAAGTGACTTTAATACAGTGAATATACAATGTGGAACACGAAGAATATAACTTCTAAATCAAACACCTGAAGTTACCCATCCCCTCGTGGGCAAAAGTCCACCGAAAAGGGATTGGCCCAAAGCAAGGCCTGAAAGCTGCCACAAGACTAAAGCACCTTCTGGCCGGGACCCATGGAAAAGGGTCAGAAATGGCCAGACAAATCTGGGAGGAAAAGAGCAAAATCAAAATCAATATAAACACTGCCATAGTTACCTCCCCCACAGGTATCTCACCCACATCTGCCTTAACCAGCCCAGGGTCAGGAAACAAGCCCAGTTTCTTCATCACATGCTTGCTTCTCTATGTGGCTTCCCTAGGTCTCTGTCTTATTCTCCATCTGGCTTCCTTCTCTCCTTCTCTCTTCTCCTTTCTCCTTTTTCTCCGCTCAGCTCCACCCTCCTTCTGGGTGGGGCAGGGAACCTGGAACTTCCCTTCTCCTAGGGACCACCCAGTTACGTTTGATATGGTATGCATCAACCAAGTCTCAAGAAGATCAGCTCCAATTAAGAAATGATCCTAGCATGGAGGAAGTGCCAGGTAGTAAAAACAAAAACAGAAGTGAAGGTGAGACTCCCAGCTGAACTTGAGAACCCTCCCCATCCTGCATACATGGGGACTTCTTTCCTGGACTGACATGTCAACAGGAAACTGAGCATTCAGGATTAAGGGATCAGGCCCCTTTTCCCCCTAGCGATATAAAACACAATCTGTTTCCTTCCACAGCTTTATCTAACTCTTGGTCAGTGTTGAGACCCAAGGTTTAGGTGTCGTTTTTGATAGCATTTTGATCCTGTGTCTACTTACAGGCCATTTACTGTCTTGTGACCTTGGTCTTCTTCTACTCATCTGCCTCATTTTGGGCCTGGGTAAGTGTCCCTTAACCTGGCAAGCGAGTGACTATTGAGTCAGTGACTGGCTTTTGATACTTCCATTTTTGCTTTGCAGATGGCCCTAGGCTTTAGTCTGGCGGTATACGGGGCCAGCTATCACTCTATGAGCTCGATGGCACGGGCAGCTTTCTCCGAGGATGGGGCCTTAATGGATGGTGGCATGGACCTCAACATGGAACAGGGCATGGCAGAGTGAGTGTCCCCCACCGCCAGCCCAGGTGAGCGGCCCCAGGGCTGGGGTGCCGGGGCCCAGATAGCCCAGACTACCTGCAGCTCAGGAGGGCGGAAGGGAACTGACCAGGGGCCTTCTGCTATGTCTGGCCCTGTAGCCTCCCGTCTGTCCACAGGCATCTCAAGGATGTGATCTTACTGACAGCCATCGTGCAAGTGCTCAGCTGCTTCTCCCTCTACGTCTGGTCCTTCTGGCTTCTGGTGTGTGGGATGTGGGGTTCCCAAGAAGGAGCTGGGGCATCTAACCCTTGTCCTCTTTTATCTTCTGCACCTGGCTTCAGGTTATCTTTTCTCTCCTAGGCTCCAGGCCGGGCTCTTTACCTCCTGTGGGTGAATGTGCTGGGCCCCTGGTTCACGGCAGACAGTGGTGCTCCAGCACCAGAGCACAACGAGAAACGGCAGCGCCGACAGGAGCGGCGGCAGATGAAGAGGTTATAGGCACTGACTTTGTGGCCACAGGCTGCTGGGCCCTGGGTGGCTCTATCAGGTATCATGGCCCTCATGCCAGGAGCATGGAGGGCCTAGTCCAGGGGCTAAAAGCAGTTGGAGGATACAATTGTTTAATAAATGACTTGGAATGTGGCTGGTGGTTTTGTGGGCAATAACAAGGGTTGAGGCAAGAAGAGCCAGTCGTTTGTTTTTCCCTTCTACCACCGACCCCCATGTGTCAGGTACCTTGAGAGAGGAAAAAGACTCTTGAATTGGCTAAGAGAACTTTATTATGGTCCATGCATTCAGGGGGTTCACACACACACACACACACACACACACGCATGCACACACACACATGCACAAACTCAGATAGGCGTATGTAACTAATACTGCTCAAGGTACTGGCCACTGAGTGGCCCTGGAGTTGAGAAGAGGCCCAGAATTCTGCTGTGGTCTCTCTCCCTCTGCAGTCTCTCATTGCAGCAGGACCCATACTGGTTTCCTGGAGGCAGCGCCTTCATACCTCCAGGCCAGGGCCCTTATTCAGTCCTAGTGCCTGCACCAGGTCCTCTCCGAGTCCAGTCTTCAGCGTCCGTCTCACTGCAGGGACAGAGCAGGGTTAGAGGGGGTTGATGGGGTGAAAGTGGGCACCAGGTATGTGGGGAGTACTCACAAGACTTGCGGTTGCCACGGGAACGCTTCCGTTCCCGAGCAGCTAAAGCCCGAGGGTTGCTCTTGGTCACTGACTGCACCAGCAGATCCATGATCTCATCAGAAGTGTCACTGGGTAAATTGGAGCCTGGGGATTCTTCTGGGGGTGCAGTGGAGGGTTCCATTGCAGTGGCCATGATTGGGGAACTGCTCTGGACCATGCCTGAGGAAGGCCAGAGAGGAAGGTCAGGCCAAGGAGGCGCCTTGTGTTCCTTGCCCCCAGGACCCACAGGGCCCACCTCTGCTGCGGCGGGCATGTGTAGGGTCCTCAGGCCTGCTGGTCAGCAGACTCTTCATGCTGGCATGACTGTCAGCATCCTCTCGGCCTGGCCCGCTTCCCACTGCCACTGGGACAGATGGGTTGCAGGGAGCTTCCCCAGCCACACTCGAGAACTTCTCTGTCTAGAAAGGGGACAGAGGTCAGCTGGGGTTATGGAAAGTTGGCAGGAAGGGCAGGGATGGCAGTCAAGCCCTGGAAGAGCGACCCACCTCGGTGATCATGCGACCCCGGGTCTTGTTGCGCTCACGGTACGTGGCCCGCTTCTTCTGCTGCTGCAGCACCCGTTCCCGGCAAGTACGATACTCCAGTGCGAACTCACGCAGAGTGTGGCAGAACTGCATGATGCGCACTTCCCGGGCTGCCTGTGCCGTGTAACCCAGGTAGAGCAGGAAGGCATGGAACCTGGCCGGGATGGGGGGCGGTGGTGAGTGATACTTGCGGTTTGAAGAACAGGAGTGGGGTCTGACCCCTCTCTGGCCATGCCTCCACCTGTTGCAGACACGGCGGTGTACCACCCTCAGCATGGCCACGCGGCGGGCACACTGGCCCAGGAAGTGGATAAGGCGGGTACGCAGGGCTGGCGCCAGTTCGTGCTTGGCCAGGCCCCGGAGACTCTCCTCAGCTGCCCGGCTCCGCCGTTCCAGTTGTCCCAGGTTCTCATTCAGCTCCTCAAAGTCCACCTGGGGAAGCAGGGTGTATATGGCCCCCCGCAACCTAAGGTTGTGAACTGGCCAGCCTAGGCCCTAGGACACAGATGCCTGATACTCATTCCACCCTTGAAAAATTCAGACAAGTCTGCTTGGGAGAGTGGAGACACAGGTTTCTTGTGGAAAGTGGTGGCTAAATGGACCCAAAGACAGTAGATAGAGCCAGGCCAATAGAGAAAGAGCTTTTTTTTTTTTTTTTTGCAGAGGACATAGCCTGTTGAATACCCACAGCCCTAGCAAGCTGTGCCACAGAACCCTAGCAGCCAGAAGGAGAGAAGCTGGGCCCAGGAATCAGTACCCCTTTACTCTGCCCAGTCTTGGTCCAGCCTCTAGCTGATGCTCACCTTAGCACAGCGGGTCAGAGCAGGGATTTCTGAGTAGAGGTCAGAGGAATCGGGCCTGGTCTGGAGCACCAAGGAGCAGAGATGGTGCAGCAGTGACTGCCGGTGCACTGTGTCCTTCACCTCTGACACCTTCTCCAGGTAGCTCAGCTCAAAGCCGCTGCTCTGAAAGGACCCTGTTTGAGTCTGGGCCTGATCAGCTCCAAAGTCCTGGCCTCCAACTCTCATATACTCTCACCTGGGAGCCATTGAGGAAATTGCCCACAGCTAGCAGAGTGGCCAGGATGCAGCGGAAGGTGGCATTTTGCACCAGCTGTTCCATGCCCACTTTGAGGTCAAACAGTGGCTCTGCAATCTCCTGATGTGGGAGGCCAGAGACTCAGATTGTGTGGTTGTCATGCTCAGCCCCCCACTGCCTACCCCATTCTGTGATCCAAGTACCCGCTCCATGCCATCATAATCCAGTTTGAAGGCCCAGAGTTGCAGACGGGCAGCCAGCCCCCCGATGGAGGCGAGGGTCATCAGGAAATTCTCAGCTGGGCCCAGGGGGATGTCAGGATTGGCCAGCTGGGCCTCCTCAATCTTCTGCCTCTCCTCCTCCGTGGGCAGCATGGTCAATAGCTTCTGAGGATGCAGCCACCACCCCATAGGGTGCTCAGTGCTGGCCTCAGGCCAGGGTCTTAATTTCTCCCTTTACCATCTGGGGGAGTCCCAGGGCCAAGGGAGTGTTCTGCAGAATCACCAAGCCCATGCCCACCAAGAAGGGAGAGGAAATGCCCACTGACCAAAGGAGAGGGTCAGACCTCCCACCTCCCTGCCACATTGCTAGCAGGGTATCCCCACCTCAATGCCATCCTTGCTGACAGCAAACTCATCAAAGTTGAGCAGGGCAGCCTTAATGACGTGGACAGGTGGTAGTGTGGTTAGGCCAATGTTGATGGCATTGCTGCGCTTGGGGTCCAGCACTACAGTCATGGTCCGGCGGCCCTCACCAGCTTTCTTTGAGATTGGGGGGAGGGCAGTGTAAGACTGGGAAAGGGACGAGCTGGGCTAACAGTCCACGGTGGCATCCCCAGGCCCTAACTGTAAGTAGCCAGTTGTGAGGCTCACCCCACAAATGGGGACCTGGCATATGTGAAGCCTTAAGACGAACTCAGATTAACAGGGCCCTATTAGTCCCTGATTGAGAGACCTCAGCCAGGTTCTTACTCTTGTTTCCCCATGTGGGAGGTGAGAGGCCAGCCATAGTCATTCAAAGGTTACCTTGTAGATGAGCGTGGATTTACCTACCTTGGAAGGCAGCACATCTTTGGCGCGGGACTCAAACAGGTGTTCCAGTCGGGCCGTGTCCACTGATACAGGCTCCAGTGAAGCCCACAGGGTAGGGCAGGGCCCAAAGCGGCTCCCAGAGCCCCCATGGCCCCCAACCAGTTTTAGCTCTCGCCAGAAGAGTTTTACTGTCTTCCTCTTGGCGGGGAGGGCTAGGCTGTCAGGTGCTGAGGAGGGAAGAGGGGCAGCTAGGGGTGGAGGTGGTGGGAATGGGCCTTTGATGGGTGGAGGAGGTAGGGGGGGAGGGGGGAAAGATGGAGGGGGGAGGGGCGGAGGAGGAGGGGGCCCTCCAGAGAGCAGGGGCAGTGGGGGTGGTGGAGGTGGGATTCCTGTGCCAGCCTCTGCAGCCTCCATGTCCAGCATGTCCTGGTCTTCATCCTCCCCCAGATCTGAGAAGTCCAGGTCCCCAATGCAGAGCTTGGATGAATGGGTAGGGAGCTCCTGGGTGGGCTGAACCTTGGGGCTTGGTGGGGCTGGTGGCTCCTTGGGCTCTGGCTCAAGACTCCGCTGGGCCCGGAGCAGGACTCGGGGGACAGGGCTATGGGATGTTCTGGGTACAGAGGTCAGCTCAGGGGAGCCCCATAGTTCCCGGGTATCTAGGAAAAGGAAAGCAATCATCAATTTCATGCCATCTGCACGCAGCAGTGCAGCAGGGCAGCAAGGCTAGGTTGTGCCCACCCACCTACGCACCTGGGTGCCCATCAGTCTCATCAGGCATGGCCCCAGCCAGTGCCTCCGCCCGGCCCTGAGCCAGCGCAGCCTGCTTCTCTGTTTCTGCCGCTGCCACATTCTCCAGGAACCGAGCTCTGGAGAGAAGCACTTGTCAGTGAGGTGTTCTGACATGGGACAGCCCAGGGTGGCGCACATGCCTTGCTGGGCCGCTGGGCTCTGCCCCCAGTTGCAGGCACACAAACACACAGAGAACAGTCCATGCGCTGAGCAGACCCAGGTCCTGCCCCCCAAGGCCAGCTCCTGTGGAGTGTCCACACTGGGGAGGGCCACTACCAGCCCAACATTCCCAGAGCAATGCAGGGAGGTCTACTCGGCTTGCAGCTACTCATGGTCACTGTTCTGATTCTAGACCTGGACACCTTGCAGGGGGAGAAGCCAGCTGACCCAACGCGCACAACAGAATGTGTCTCCCTCAGCGTGCCTGGGAGCTCGACAGCTATGGCCTGTACTCTGAAGTGAGCTATGAATCAGGCACTCATCTTATGCTGAAGTCATGAAGGTGACCCAGTTCTTTTGTGGTCGCTCCGGTCTCAGTCCCGGTCCTCCCCTCAGCCTTACTTTGTTCCTCTACCCGCACTCCATAGTGGCCCAGTTCTCCTCCCTGCCCTATTCCTGAACTGGGCCCCAGTTTGAGCGTCCATGTTCTCATCTTTGGGCTTAGCTATTAAGCTGTCATTTTCGAAGCATAGGGACCACTGTGACACCAGTGACCTGCTTCCCTATAGAGCAGTACCTCTCTGGGTAACCAAGATGGCACAAGTCTGGGAGAGCGGTGCCTGACTCTCCAGTTATGGCTGCATGAGGCCTGTGGGACCCCTGCTGGGGGAAGCAGTGCTGAAGCCCTGAGCGCAGGTAGGCCTGGCAGGCTGGCCTCTGTACTTACTCCTGCCTGGCCTGCCCAGTATGGGACTGGGGGACGGGTGGGCTCTCAGGGGCCCTGGGTGGGAGGGACAATAAGAGATGATATCAGGGGCCCCGTCCCAGCCTGGGTGGGAAGAGGAAGGGGAGGGGGAGTCATGACGTAGGAACAACACTGGAGATGGACAGACCGACATGAAGCAGGACAGTGTAAAGTGCCAAAGACAGAGCAGAACAAGAGCCAGGGGCTGAGGGACAGGCAGAGGACAGGAGGGAGACGAATGGCAAGTGGCACGGGCAGGTGGAATGCCAGAAAAAGACGAAATCTCAGGAGGATGAGGGCCACTCCGCGCAGAACCAGTCCTCCAGCACTCACTTACCAAACAGGAGCAGTTTGGTGAAGTCTGGAAAGAAAGAAAGAGAAAGCACGCGTTTGGGCAGAGGAGATGGAGAACCGGTGAAGGGGTGCAGAATGGAGGGACAGCTGGAAAGACTGTGGGGAGACCTTGAGCTCACAACTCACTTGTAGACGCTCCTCTCGCCGCTGTCTGTGGCCGAGGGCACCACTGAGATGGTGGGAAAGACACTCAGCGAAGACAGCCGGAGGCCAGAGGTAGGGCTTGCAGGGCTGGACGCAGGGCTGGAGGCGGGGCTGGACCGAGGGGCTGGCCTGCCGGGGGAGGGGCTTATCGGTGAGGCCGGGCTGGAGGCGGGGCCTGCCGGTAAAGCGGGGCTGGTAGAGGCGGGGCCAATCGGTGAGGCTGGTCCTGTGGGGCTGGAGGCACCGCGGGCATGTCAGGAGAGGAGGCTCTGCCGGGCAGACCCACTCTTCTGCATCTGCTTAGGCCTTTCTTAGTTCTTACCCAGGCTCTGGGGTGCGCGAGGGGCAGCCCCCACCTTCTAGAGATCGGCGGCTCCTTTTGCCCTCCTCTGAAGAAGGTTTTCGGCGCTCCCGCCGCCCACCTGCAGCAGCTTCTTCAATGTCCCCGTCCTCCAACCGAAGGGCGCTCTGGCAGAGGTGGGCCAGATGTGAACCTCTGAGGCCCAGGTAGGTGGGTGGTGTGCCGGGGAACTGCACTCAGTCCCCACCCGAAGGGGGGCCCTAACAGCCCAGCCCACCTCGTAGAGCACAAGCTGCGTGCGCAGGTCTATGTCAACGCCCAGAGTGTTCAAGTGGCGCTGGACCAGGGTCTCCATGCCCTGCTGCTCCAGGGCATCCGTCACGTCATAGAAGGAGTCCTGATCTGGAAGAGCCGCCAGTGTCTAGTGGACGGGGAAGTTCAGAAGTCAGGAGGCTGAGGGGTCCACAGTTGGCATGTGGTTCTCTCCCCCTCCCACACACCTTGTTGATGAGGGTGACCGTGTACACCAGCAGCTCCGAATCACAGCCATTCTTCTCCTCCAGGATGGACACCAGGTTGGCCCAGGGGAGAGTGCCTGCCACACGGAAGGGGACACAGTCACCCAGGGACAGGTAGGAGAGAACGGTGGGGGAGGGATGGGGGGCATCTAACCAGTGGTGCTGGCCACGGAGTTGACTGCACGGATGAAGAGCGGCGCGTTGTTTTCAGAGTACTCCACAAACACCAGCAGCAACTTCAGGGCTGTCTTCACCACCAAGCGGGACTGGGGGAACAGTGATCCCATGAGTAGGGATTGGGCCAGACTTGTGCCAGCTCCTGGTGTGTGGTGGGCGAGGGTGCCTGGGGTTGAACCCAGAGAGGAGAGTCTGGGCAGAAAGACTGGTTCCGGTCCCAGACGCCAAGCGCTTTCTAGGCCCAGAAAGCTTTCTAGACACCCTCCACTGTAGCCTGCTTTGCAGACGAGGGCAAAGCGGTGCAGCACAGGCAGGAGGTAAAGGGAGCATGGCTGGGCAGAGGGCCGCTTACCGGACTGGCACACAGTGTATACAGCCATTGCACAGTCTCGCTGTGGGCCACCACCCCCAGCATCCCATCCACGAAAAGCATCAGCTGGCCTAGTGCTGGGGACACAGGGGCAAGAGGAGGTCAGCAAGGGGCCACTGAGGGGGTCAGCAAGCGTCGTGGGGGCAGGGGCAGGCGTGGGGCTCACCTCTCAGGATGTAAGTCTGGTAGTTGTGGTCGGCAGCAGCACCCACACGGGTGAGGCAGCTCAGTCCCTCTGAGTGTACGAATTCAGGCACTAGATCCTTGTCCTCCTGGAGGTACCACGGAAAGTTTAGGGGGGGTAGGGCTGCACCCCCAACCCCAGCCCACCTCTGGGCCTCACCTGGAAGATCTGTTTTAGTGAGAAGAGGGAACGACGGAGCTCTGGGCCACTGGAGCTGTACAACTTCTCTGCAAAGGATTGGCGGGCATGGGACCTCAAGGAGTCGCAGACAGCCTGGCCTGCTGCGACACAGCCACTGCCCCCTTCAAGACATACCCTTTCCCTGAACCTCCCACCTCTGCCTCCTCCACTCCCTGACTCTGGCTAACCACTAGTTAGGCTGCAGCATTAGCCCTGGCCTGGAAAGAGAGGTCAGGATAGGAATGAGGAGGGGTCACATATCCTGCTTCTCACATGCCCTGTGCGTTGTCCAGCACTGACCTGAAAGAAACTGAGCCCGGGCTGTGGGGGTTGCTGGGCATGGAGGCCCACACACACTCACCCAAGATGGCATTGACCCTCACAGAGAGTTGGGTCCGCAGAATCAGTGTAGGCTTCCGCCCTTTGCTGGAATCAAGCAGCTTAGTCAGCAGCTCCAAGACCATTCCTCAGGGTCCCAACCCCCACACCAAGGCAGCCAAAGCCCTCCCTGCAAGCCAACCCTGGCCCAGCTCCTTCCTCCCCAGCTGCTCCTAGCAGGTCCCAGGGTTGTCTAGAGAGGAGGGCTTGTGCAAACACAGGTATCTCAGTTATGTAGAAGAGCCCTCTCCCCCACTCCCATCCCAGGCAGCAGGTAACACCGGCCAGGCCTTGACATTCCCCTGGCACAGTTCCCCAAGCAGTAGGAGGGACCCACAGCTCGGCCTAGAGATTAGGTGTCTCGGCTGCTGATACAGGCACCAGCCCCCGGTGAGGGCAAGGATGTCTCCCAGCCTTTCCGCCCTGTCCCCACCAGCTCTGACCTGATCTCTTCATAGAAGCCCTCCAGCATCTCCCGCTGTTCTTCAAGGGACAGCTCAGGGTCCAGGTAAAATCCAGAAGGAGACACTTGCAGGGCACAGTCCTCTAGCTGGGGACAAAGGGGACAGCTGTTAGGGCTGGGGAAGGGCTGGCAAGGGTCTGTATGGACACCCCATGATCTCCTATCCCACTTGGGGTGATGGCAGAGAGGCACAGCGCCAGAGGCCACCTGCATCATATGTTCCTTCAACAGTCATTACTCATGCAGCAAACATGTGCAAAGTCACCTCAGGTGCCAGGCTTTCTTGCTTTGTTTGTACTGTGTTTTCTCCTGGCGAACACTTACCCCATTCTTTAGGTTCATGTTAGAGAACACCTGTTGGAATGCCTTCCCGGATTCCTGGCCAGTGCTGTGCAGCCCGCTCCACCTGAGAGTGACCCCTCCTGTGGCTTCCGTGACATCCTTGACACCAGCGTCCACCCCCGTGAACCTGAGGCTCTGTGGGCTCAGGCACTGTGTGCTGTACCCTGGGCTCTCTCTGCAGAGCCCACACAGCCCTTGGAACATGGGAGCGCTTACTACATGTCTGCTGAGCTAGTAAACATGAATGAGGAAGGGGAATGGAGAGAAGATGGGAGGAAGTTCCTGCCTTCGAGGAAGTTCACAGCCCTGTGGGGTGATAAACTGTGACCACAAAACATTCAAGCCCAAGGGGAAAGTGTTAAGAATGATGGGAGGTGCAAACCAGCTGGGAGGTAGGGGTATTGGGGTGTGTATGTGTGTCTGAATAGAACAGTGATGAGTGGGGACTAATTCATAGGCTCCCCAGTCTCTCCAGGACTCAGGGTCTCTGCCCTTTCCCCATAAGGGCTACAATCACAACAGTCCTGACTGGACCTTAGAGGCCACCTATGACCTATTAAGAATCAAATTTCAGAGTGTGATTCAATCAGTCTATAGAAGGACCCTGAAGTCAGCCTTTGGGACAAAAAGGTGTATGCGCCATTCATGTGTCTGCGTCATCTCCCTCCCTCCAGTCTGGCGCCCCTGTGCAGCTGCGCTGTGACACTCAGCCCTTAGCGGAGGCCTGCAGAGAGGCCACGAAGTGCTTTTGGAGTCTGAGAGCAGCACGGTTCTTCTCCTGGTCACGTCCCCCTGAGCACAGTGCTATGCAGGGCTCAGCAAAGTCTCCTTGATAGGAGTCATCCCACTCTTTGAGGTACCCTGGCCCAAGGTGAACCCCCCCCTCCTACAGAGCGGAGGTCTTCTAGCCGCCATCTCACTGGCAAAGTTCACCCCAGCAACTCTCCTGCTGTTTTACCAGCCTGCCTGCTCTGGGCCATGTCTAAGAGTTTCCACCTGCCCCTCATCCCCTGGGCGAGGAGAAGGAGTCCAGCTCCTGCCCCCCCAGCCCTCCCTCTGTTAGCACCCCTGCTCATCCTGAGAACCTGACCCAGTTCCTTCCTGGCAGTTCAGCATGTGGGGGCCTTAGGTGACACCTCCCCCCAACACCTCCCCACCCCCGCCAGGGACATGGGACATAGGACAAACACTCCAGCCTGTTCTCTGTCCCACTTCCTGCCTGGCTGCCTGCCCTCCCTCTGGGCGCCGGGGCGGGCCTGGGCCTCTCTCCCTTCCCAGGAGCAGAGTCATCTTCTCCAGGCCCTGCAGGGATCAGGTTTGAGAGGAGGTGGCTAGGCCCCAGGGCTAGGGTACTTCTTCCAGGACCAGTTGAGGGCAACCCACATTTCTCTGATCCCACTGATTCCATGCATGACTCAGCAATCTCATCCCCACCCTGCCCCCCACCCTAGGCACAGAGGATCACCCTCCACCTTGGCCTGGAGAATCCCCAGACCCTAGAGAAACATCTCCCCCACAACCACACAGCCCCAATGGCTCCCAAAGCATACACTCATTCAAACGTTCACAGACCAGGCAGGCTTTAGCTGCTGAGGACAGAGCCACTAATAAGACACTGCTTCTGCCTTCCCTTCCTTCAAGCCCAGAGGGGGAGGCAGACAGACTTAACTCAGAAAAAGCTCACAAATAAATGTACAATCCCCACTGCCAAGGGTGATAAGAAAGGTGGGGGATGGAGTGCTGTAACGATAAATGCTGGAGGGTGATCAGATTATACCTGGTGACTTCTTACCTATCTAGGTATATGACCTGATAAATACATGTGAATGTACAGACACACGCACACTGGCCTGCACTGGTCCCAGCAGTGCACCTTCAGAAAGTCCAGGCCTCGCATGCTCTCCACTTGCTTGCACATTTGTAGTTTGGACCCCTGGTAAGCAGAGAGGGGCCCTCTCCATGCAGGGACTCCCTGTGGTGCCCGCATCCACTTGGTTCTAGACCTGAGTCTTCCACCATCCCGGCTACCTTGGAGAAGCAACTCCTTCATGATGGTAGCTACGGACCGCTCACCACTTCACCTGCCCAGGCCCGCCAGGTCCTCATTGCTGGGGGTTGGTTCAGGACAGTGCCCCTCTCCAGCTTTATGTCCTGGGTTGGAGGTGGGGGGTGGTAGTGGGTCGGGAGAGGCAAGTAGCAAAGAGCAGAGTTTCAGCTGGGTGGTGCTTATCCCTCACACCTCTGGCCGGTCGGGTCAGTCCGTGGTTTGAAAGCCAAACTCTGGACTTTGTTTCTCACACCCTGGGGCAGGGCCAGGCTGGAGTTAGCCCAGCCTCAGCCCCAGTGGAGAGTGCTTAGTTAGGGTCAGCGCACAGTGAGGGCCCACATCCATGACTGCCCCCCTGGCTCTTGTCTTTCACACTCCCCTGCTATCTATCTTAGGGTGTAGTCCTTTCCCCATTCGCTTCAGGCTCAGCCCTGACTTCAGCCTCCAGCCTACATTTCTCTTGATCTCTCGACTCAGATTATTCTAGCAGCTGAAACCAACTAGTTACATATGGTTTAGAAGCAGGGCCAAATTTAGGAGACCATAGTGATCACTCCCCAATATTTTTTATAACAGTGTTATTAGGTGAGAATGAACATGCCCAGCCAGAGCACAAGGAAGATGGGGCAGAGGGCAGAACTAGCTGCTGAGGGAGCCCTACTGTAGGAAGTAAGCCGCTAACTGCCTTTTCTTCTCCTTTTATAAACACAAGACCCTGTGCTCTGAAGTCCTTCCTTGTTCTTCGGTCTCCAACTAGACTGTGGCTTCCTGATTGAGATGATGCGATGGGCCTTGAGGGGACCCCACACTTGCCGCCTTTGTGCACACATCATTAGATTTTCCTGAGAAATCCATTACAGGTGAGGAAACCAAGGTTCAGGAAGTCAGATTTTTGCCCCAGCCTGCATAAGTGGGAATGGATTTGGGCTAACTGACCGGGGCCTTGGGCAGGTGGACTCTGGAAATCCTGCAGGGGAGATGGTGAGAGGCTTGGGCTGGCGGGTTATCAAGCGCTGGAGATTGCCCCTCAGCTTTCTGGACTGATAAATACCCGAACTGGTTCTCCCAGTTGCAAGGGAAAATGAGTGAACACACAGACATCACACATGCTGGGAAATAGTGCCAGCTTCTGCCCAAAGGGCGCCTAGGTCCTGGCACCCTCCACTAGGCTGTAGCCCAGGACCCCTAGCCCAGGATGACCAGCAAATTGGCCATGCCAGCTCCAGGGAAGACTGGGAGGGAGCCATGACTCATGCCTACATACCATACTGCCTCCCAAAGAGGACTCCCTGTCAGGCTCAGTTCATCACCAGAGATTCCTATATTACCCTTAACAATATTCTGGGACACCCCTCTTGGCCCTGCCCTAACAATTCAGGTTCACACTTTAGGACCCTAACCACAAATACTTCTGAGAGGTAAACTGAGGCTGGAGTAAGGAAGGGCAAGTGTCATTTAGGACAGTGCCATCCCTGTCCTACCCTGATCTCTTGCTATAGCTGGGGATTTTCACTGGCAATGAGCAGATTTCTAGGGTTACCCCTGCTGCTAGGAATAGAGGAACCCTCTGCCTTTTGTATTAGGGTCAGAGCAGTACCCCAGGCCCCCTGGGCAAAAGTGCCTAGGCAAAAGTCAGTGTTTTACCAGACGTGGGAGGGCCTTTGGGTATGAGGGAGCAGCTCCTGAGGTACCGCCCATAAAGGCAAAGAAACCTGGAGGGCCACTCTGAGTAAGGCGCACAGATGTAAGGCCTGAGAGCTGTTCCCTCCTGCCCTGGCCAGAGGCAGATGTCTGAACTGGGAGAGGTTCCTACACAGAGAGAAGAGAGGTATTCCTAAGTTCCCTTGAGGACACCAGGCAGGGCCTAGGCACTGCCAGGACCCTCCCCCCAGGGTCAGGAGATGAGTCAGGAGCTTCCTCCTAGACTGGGCGGAAATGAGCAAGGCCTTCTCAGGCCTGAAAACTCTGAATCCTTTTAAAAAGAAGGCCCCTGGGAACTCTAGAGGCTAGGCCCAGCTCACTGGGATATGTGGAGGATATGTGGGCCCATAGAGAAAGTGGGCCAGGCCTCTGTACATCCCCAGGGAAGGCCAGGGATGATGGGAGTCAGTGCCCAGAGTGGGCAAGCAGATGACTCTTGGCTGTTTCCCATTCTTTTGCAGGACAGCTGTCCATAGGACAGGGCATTAGTAGAGGAAATCCCCTCCTCTTATTTCTGCCTGGGAGGGAGACACTTGGGTTTCTGGGTCACTTCTTCCCTCTAGAGGGCTATCAGGCAGGCCTGAGTCATGTCTGTGCCCCTGGGGCACCCACTCCTAGGACTAGGGGAAGAACCAGCTGTTGACATTTCCTGCAAGGAGGAGCCCTGTTCCCTCTCCCTCAGCTCTCTGAAGTCCCTGCCCCTACCCTATTCTCAGCCCTTCTTCCTCCAGCCTCCAGCCTTCTATTTTGGGGCTGTGGTCACAGTTTATATTTGGGATGCACACAACACTACATCTGGCCATTCCTGGCAGCACTGCCAGCACTAGGGAGTCCTGGCTCCAATCACCTTGTAACCCAGTATGCCCCCCCATGCTGCCAGTGGGGTGCCAGATACTTGAGGTGGGCAATCTGGAAAGTGGAGAGACCAGGAAGACTGAGTTGGGGGTGGGAGATTTAATACATTCTCTGAGCTCAGTAGTGTCCTCAGCTAGAGGCAGAGGGCAGAGCAATGTGCTTTCTTGTAGTCGCCCTCCTTAGCCTACTCCTAGTTGGGAAGAGGGATGTCAGGGCTGGGTCCTGTCCCAGTGTGGGGATCAGGGGGAGTGGAGGAATACAATTTTCTTCCTAGAGCTCCAGCCTCACTTTGGCACCAGGAGTTCCAGGAGTCCTGAGGCAAGACCTCCTCTCTCCCCAGCCCCACTCCTGAATGGGGGGGGGCGTTCTCTGTGTGTTTCTCCCAGGCCCACCTCGGTTTCGCCCTTTTAACAGGGCACAGCAAAGGAAGGGTGTGCATTTGCATCGAAACTCTGGGGTGGGCAGAGTGCTGCAGCCTTCAAGCTTTGCCCCAACATGCGCCACTCCTCAAGCCAATATTCTCACCACCCTCTTCCCAGCTCTCGGAGGCGGGGCAGACTTGCAGCGAGAGGAATGCAGGCTTGGGGGCCCGGCGCCCGGGGCACATTCCAAGGGAGACCCCGGGCCTGGGGGGCAAGTTTGCGCAACTCCGCGTCCAGCCACCGCCGGGAGCAAAAGAAGGGCACCCCATCAACTCTCTCTCTTCCGGCTCACCACTCGGTGCAGACCGGCTGGCGGAGAACCCGGGGGGTGGCGTGGGGGTGGTGTGTGCCTCCCAGAGTCCAGGCCCGGAAACCCTGCGCTCCGGAAAGGGATGCCTGAGGGGGGCTGAGCGGGAGGGGAGGTAGGGCCGGCCATCTGGAAAAGGGCCTCTCCGGGCGCGGTGCACTCACTAGTCGACTCCCCGGCGCAAGCAAACTAGGGCAGGCCCGAAGTTTAAAATTAGCCCGGCCCGCCCTCTCCCTCCCAGCAGTCGGCTAGCAGCGGCGGGTGTACGGGATGATGGCGCGGTGACTCAAAGGGCTTTTCCAGCAGTGCACGACGAGTGCCCGGCCAGGTCGCTTCCCGGGGACTCCCCACTCCCGGAGAAATCTTTGCTTGGCGGGCCCACCCAGGCCGGCGCCCCACCTACGAAGGGCACTACTATCTGACTGGGCCCAATCCAGCCTTCGTCACCTCGAATGGCCCGCCCCGGGCCCGCCCCCCCCCCGTGGGCCCGCCCACAACTTACCTGAGCAGGTGGAAGCTAGTCGCTCCCCAGCTCGGCCCCTGGATCCGCTACTATCCAAACCCCTGCGGTCAATCTATCCCGGGCAGACAGGCAGCTAGTGGATCCCAAGCACCTCCCCAGGTGGGCCGCAGTGCACGGGGCAGCCAGGGTAGCCAGACCACAAGCACCATCTCCCTTCCTCAGCTTTCCCTTAACTTGGGAGGCGTCGCTCACAGGGAAGGTAGCATGCATCTGGGGCCCTCGGTAGGAGACTTACCCGGAGGAGCGTCACCGCTTCTGCCTCTCCCTGAGAGGCACCTCCCAAAGGCTTTCATGGCGCCAACCCTGAGCCCTCGATCTCCACCCGCCTTTCTCCAGGCCCCCTCACCTTGAGCGGCGCCCCCAAGAGACGGTGCAGCGCTGGTATCTGCGCGCCCAGAGGCAGCGCCCCGTCCAGGCTGCAGGTGGGGGCCCGGCGAGGCTCGGGAAAGTTGGCACATGAGAAAGGGTCGGTGTCCTCCAGGTACTGCACCCTCACGGTCACCACAGATACCGGCTCCCCTTCCCCGGGGTCTTCCCCGCCCGCCATGGCTCTGCCACTGACTCGCGCTGCGCGCCTCCGGGCGGGTCCCCGCCCCGCCGCGTCTACCCTAAGAACTGCAGTCCTCCCTGGCTGGGCGGGGCTCGAGCCTGGGCGCAGCTAAGTGGGCGGGGCCTAGAAAGGGGTGGGGCCGAGTTCTGGGAGCGGGCATCCACAGCGGTGGGGCCAGCCTCTGAGCCCGCGGGATAGTGACCCCATTTGGTTCACTGGCTGGGCGGGCGAGAAAATCGGGCTCGCGCTCTGCCTTCAAAGGGCGGGGAGGGTTTCCGTGTGCTTGAGGGTCTTGAGGGAGGGACTTTCTTTCAGAGATTGTTTTTGGGCAGGTAGGATGGAAGTCTTTCAGATGTTAGCTGGCCAGATGGCCCTAATTCCTTAAATTTGAGGGTTGAAGTGGGCGGGTTTCTCTTATTCTGGGGAAAGCAGGAGATGTCCCACTCAGTTTGGAGTGAGAAGTGAAAACAGATTTTTATTTCAAGAAAAAGTTGGTATCATTTCCCTTTCAGTTGGGGGGGAAGGAGAGGGGCAGGTAACCCTCAGTTCTAGGAAAAAGATGGGTGACTCAGTTTGATGGAGATGTTTGTGGGCTGAAATAATGATCTCAGTAATAGGGATAATTAAAAAAAGAGATTATCGGATAATCCAAGCGAGGATGTGAAACTGGGAACAGTCTGAAAGACCTACTCCATCAGTCACAAGTTTGAGTGAGATGTTATACCTTAGGAGAGCAAGGAGTAATGATGTTCCTACATCAGACAGCACAGTGATCAAACATTATTTTTTGACAAGGATTTCTGGTTTTCATTAGTAAGGTTTGCAAAGTCAAACTTTCCGACTTGTTCTGACGCAGAGACTTGTCTCTTCATCAATGGGGGCAAGATGTCAGATGAGTTAGATTTTATCCTTACTGCCTACGGAGACTCTTGGTTGGAGGCTGGTTGTTTTGATCATGTAACTGCCTCTTGGTCAGCAAAGACGTGCTTGAGTTCATTCCTCAGGAGCATATGGAATTTTCTGCATGACATCTTCACAGGGCCAGCCAGTTCTGATTCTCGTCTACCAGGGACTTTGAACTTCTTCCAGCCCATCAGACCAGGGAGAGGGGACCCAAAATACACCTTCAGTTCTCAAGGTAGAACATGTTCCCTTCAGCTTTGGGGAAGAAGTGGGAGAAATGTCCCTCAGACTGAATGAAAATTGGAGACGCCCCAGTTTGAGGCGAGATAAGCCGAATGCCCTTCAGTTTGGGCTGCTGGAGCCCTCTTCGTAGGGAATTGATAGCTGCATTTTCCATAGTTTAGGGAAAGAAGATAGTTTCTTTCCATTTTGTAGAAAAGGCGAGAAGAGTCCTTTACAGTTTAAGGGAAAGGGAAGTCGGTGCCTCTTAGCTTGGGATATAAAGAGGAACAGCCTCCTTCTCAGCCTGGAATGACCTGGGCCCGCTCTGGGCTTTGGGGTATCTGGGGACATTGGTGACAGCTTTGACCATCACGGCCCTCTGGGAGCGCCCACTGCGCGTGCGTGCGCAGCTCTGATCTAGGCGGGGGCCCAAATGGGGTCTTAGGCTCGCTAGGGCCTCGCGAAAGGCGGCGGCGCACTGCCCCCTGCCGTCTGCGCAGGGCAGCATTGAGGCGGGCGGCCTAGGTACCCCCGGCCCCCGCAGCTCTCGCCCCCAAGCTGCCCTGGCTAAGGAGGAGCCCGGCCCCTTCCTCCTGGACCCCGCCCCCCAAGACCCACTGCTCCTGCAGCGGTCTGCGGTCTCCCGAGCGTGGGACGTGGCGGTGCGAGCGTGGGACGTGGCGGTGCTCCTGGAGGGCTGTGGCCGCTCGCAGCTCTGAATCCGGGTCGGGGAGGTTTGGGGGAGCCGACGGGAAGGAGTAGGTTGCGGAACTTGGGAGAGGACTGCATCGGGGAATTTCCAGGGCCGAGACTGGTGTAGAGGTTGGAGTAGGGGGTCCGGATTACAGACTCCCAGGGCAGGGTCTCGCAGTCGGGACCTGGCTTGGGGGTATCGGAGCCGGGATTGGGGGGAGCGCGCCCCACGTGCCTGTGACGCGGGGGCGGCCGGTAGGCGGCGGGGCTGGCGGCCGCGCGGTGCCGGGAGGGCGGCGAGGCAGACGGCAGGATGCTGTGCGCTGCGCTGCTCGGACTGCCCCTGGTGGGGGCGGGAGCAACCGAAGAGCCCACCCTGGAGTCGGGGTCGTCGGGAGAGCCACCCCCAGGGTTGGCCCTCTTCCGCTGGCAGTGGCACGAAGTGGAGGCACCTTACCTGGTAGCCCTGTGGATCCTGGTGGCCAGCCTGGCTAAAATAGGTGAGTGCTTGAGTGGTATGCTAGGCCGGCAGCCGGCAGGGGAGCCGCCCCCAGCCCCCAGCCCCCAGATCCTGCCCGGCTTCTTGCACTGTGCCCTTACTGAGATTCCGAATCCACAAATCCGGGCTGTCACCTAGTTCCTGTGCCGCCTTTTGTGGGTGTCTCTCTTCTCCTATTCGCGTGGGCGCTCTGAGGATTTGCCTTCTCCAGGGGCTGCCCCAGCTCTCCCCAGCCCCATCCCTAGACTCCTTTGCCCTCTTTCCCCTTGCAATATGCCCTTCTGTCTGGCCTCTCCTCCTCCATCACTTTGCAGCCTCCTGGAAACCTCAGCGGGGAGGACTTGTGGGGAGGTTGAGGGGATGGACTGTGTCCAGCACATCCAGGCATCCTGGTCTCAAAGAAGCAGCCTTTTCTGGACACCATGTCCAAGTGTATTTTCTCTTAGGATTCCAACTTGCCAATTCTCCTCTAGCTCCCCTCTTAACCCTAGAGACTCTGCCATGTGCTAGCTCTGCCTCCCCACTCCCCTCACCCCCATTTCAGGCCTACGTTCTCACTTCAAGGTATAAGAAACTTCTAGTTGTCTATGTGCTGCCTGTACCAGCTGCTTCTACCCCCAGCCTCTTTCATTCTGCACAACATTGAAGGCAGAGCTACAGATTCCTTTCCTTGAATAGTTACTTTTTCTTGTTCTGCCCCTTCCTCCCCACTTAGCAGTCAGCGGTCCCTCTTCCCACCAGAGACCCTCCTCCCTCTCCCTGTTGTGCAGTCTCCACTGTGGGGGTGACTAATTATAGCTGAGTGTTGCTACTCCCTCCCATCTATGCTGGCACAGCCTGTACCCCCAGTCTTACCAATTCAGTGTTCATGTAGGAATCACACAGCCTAGAATTTGCTCCCCTTCTCCCTCAGGGACACTGCTGGGGGCGGTGGTGGCATGAACAGAAGTCTCCACTCCTCTGTGGCAGACCATTAATAACAGAAAATGAGGCTTGAAATGCCTTCAGGAAGTCCAGTTGTGCCAGAGTACAGGCTTTTGTGATGGCTTTTGGATTGCAGTGCTGAGTTGATGCAGGCTCTCAAGGTGAGGGTGGAATAGGGTCCTGGAAGGAGAGGAAGGGGCACCAAAGGTAAGGATGAGTGTGGGGAGATCTATGGCTGGGCTGCCCTAGAGCCTAGCAGCAATGAGAGGAAAGTGGGAGGAGCCTTAGATTTGACAACCAAGAATTGAGCTTGTGGAAAAGTCTGAGAGTTGTAGGAGAGTGCTGATTATTTAGGGCTTATAGCAATGAGTATAGTTTTCCCAGAAGTCATAGTGCTTTTCCTAATTTGAATGGCACCTACTATGGGGGTAGGAGAAGAAAGCCTTCTCATCAGCTAATATATATATGTATGTATGTATGTATATATATATATATATATAATATGTGGGTGTGTGTATCCTCAAGAGAGGAATAGAATGTTCAGTGATACCTTCCCCCAGCTTTATTGCTAAAGAACTTTTCCCCTTTTTATTCAACAAGTATTTATCCTCACCCACTGTATGCCAGCTTCCAAAGGGCATGGCCTTGGCCTTGGGTGCTACATGGTGAACATAAAGACCTTTCCTACTACCCACCGCTCTGAGCTTGTATAGGGATAGATGTTCATTCATGGTCTCAGCCCCAAAGGAGAGTAGAAACAGTTTATTTTAGGTGACAAATATAGTAGTGGCCTTAGTGCCAGAAACCCACTTCACACCCCTCCTCTTTTCTTAGGGAGAGAACTGTTATTCCTCTCAGTCATATTTCATTAACATTTGTTGAGAACATACCATGTGTCTGGCATTCCACCAGGCAAACTTACACGCTATCATTTTATCCTCACCCTTTGTGATGAGTGTTCTTCTCATCTTATGGGAGAAGAAATCAAAGTTCAGGTAAATGAAACAGTTTTCCCAAGATCACACAGTTGGAATGCCATTGGTGGAGTCTGAAGAAGAATTGGAGAACTTCTGACTACTAGACTCAATGTTTTTTAAACTACTGAGTCCTTAGTGAGCCATGTAACGAAAAGCATGCTAGGCGAGGAGGTGTGATATATGTCATAGTCCAGTTACAGAAGCATGATAAAATAATATAATAATAGATATTTATGAGTGCTTATAATAAAACACTATGCTAAGTGCTCTTGTGTACATGGTTCTATTTAAACCTCACAACAACCCTATGAGAGCATCACTATTTTTATTCCCATTTTACTGATAAGAAAACAGATTCAGAGAGGTGATACTACTTACTCCAAGGTCACATTTTGGTAAATTAGAGAACTAGGCTTTGCACTCAGGCAGTCTGACTCCAGAGGCCCTGATTTTTTACAGCTATGATGTGCATAAAAATATACTGGGTAGCATTTGCTCAAGTTCAGATAATATCTACAGACCAGGGAGATCAGAGAAAGATCCCCTGAGGATGAGAGTAGAGAGGAGGGGGCATTTCCAGAAATAGAAAAAGCAAGCCCAGGCCTAGGTTGCCATGACAGGAGCACGGCGAAGCAGTCAACTTAGGCGCAGTGGAGGGCTTGTCTTAGAGGCTGGAGATTCGAGGAGACCTGCACTTCTTTTTTCCTTCTTTGGTTCCAAGATTGGGACCTTCTAAGCCTGGGAGGTTATAGGTGTGTGTGTGTCTGTGTGTGTGTGTGTGTGTGTGTCCCATAAACAACCATCTCCTTTCCTCTTCTTGCATTGCAGTGTTTCACTTGTCTCGGAAGGTGACATCCCTGGTTCCTGAGAGTTGCCTGCTGATTTTGCTGGGCCTGGTGCTTGGAGGCATAGTGTTGGCTGTGGCTAAGAAAGCTGAGTACCAGCTGGAACCAGGCACCTTCTTTCTCTTCCTGCTGCCTCCTATTGTGTTAGACTCAGGCTATTTCATGCCTAGCCGACTATTTTTTGACAACTTGGGTGCCATCCTCACCTATGCCGTGGTGGGCACACTCTGGAATGCCTTCACAACAGGCGCTGCCCTCTGGGGCCTGCAGCAGGCTGGATTTGTGGGTGAGTCACCCTAAGACCCAGATTGGTAGAGGGAGGCTTTGCTAGACTCATCACCTGTTCCCTTCCCCAGCCCTGGAGAGCCCATGTTAGTGAGAGCCAGGCCCCAAGAGCTCATCCGGGGTCCCTCCCCACTGGAGTGCACGGCAACACTCCAGATGGGCCTGCAGCCTTCATTCAGGTCTCTGCCAGTCGAGTTTGGGCTCCTGCAGCGTGACAGCTGACAAGGGCCTGGTTCCTGGCTGTGTGTGGGCTGCCGAGGCTGGGAAACCAGTTAGCACTCTGCTGCCTCCTGCCCTCTGTTACCACTCTGCCACTTACAGTCCTGCTCCCCTGAGACATAGCTCACCTCTCCTGCCATGGCCTGCTATCCAACTGCTGTTCAAGCCACGTCAGAGTGGTTTTCTATTTTTATTATTTTTAATAAATACATGTTACACATTCACAACCCTATGCAGTGTGTCATCTCTACTTATCCCATTGATCCCGTTGGGGTAAAAGTTGTCTCACTTAATGGAATGGGAAATAGAGACTCTTAAACTCACTTGACATCAGGCTCACGGTTAGCAGGAGTGGACTTTGTCTTCAGGCTGCCTGTCCACTGCCATCTTCCTTATCTCCTGCCCCCACCCCCAATCCATTCAACCCTGAATGTTGATAATTCAGACTTCTTCCAGGTTGCCAAGGGAGGTTTGCAGTTTCTATTTGGGGACTCTAACCTGATTTCTGTAATGGCTTAGAACTTTTTGGGGCAGGAGTGATATAAATTGCCATCATCATTATAGTAATCCCAGCAGTAGGTTGACTATTGGGCACTCACAATATATTAGGCATGGGCTAAATAATGAATTTCTTAGGCAGGTACTATTATCCTTCCCAGTATGTGCATAAGAAACCAAGGCTTGGTCCCTCTCTGGTGCTGCAGTAGGTTCAAGTGCAGCACTGTGAAGCTAGCCATAGCTGCCTTAGCACGAGTTCAACTCCTGGTCAGGGGGGTGACTCATGTGGTGCAGCAGACCGCTTCTGTCTCAGCTGTCCTTTGTCAATCTGCCTGTTCTGCTCCCACGCCATCTCTGGTGAATCCTCTCACTGTCCCTGCACCTCTGGCCTGTACCTCAGTTCTGTATGCATAAATAAATCTCAAAAAAATAGAAAAGAAACTGAGGCTCCCAGAGATTATATAACAAGTTCAAGTCCCACGTGTGGTGCATTTCCTACTCTATTCAGCCCTCATTGAGGGAGAGCCCCTTCCACCCCTGACAACTGTGAGTGTCACATCGCTTATGCTGAGAACCACAGGTGTGGAAAAGAGCATTCTCTTTTGTTCTTCTCCCTCACAAAGGCAGTCAGCAGCCAGTTTCCACCTGCTGGTGGTTATTATTACTGTTGCTGCAGTTTTTATTGTCAGTGCCACCTTAGCATGTCAGGTTCCCTGGAGCGTCTCAGCCATCTCCTGGCTTGATTTGTGCAGCAGTCTTGTGAGGTAGGCAGAGGAGGAGGATGGCTGAGAGAAGTCAGGTGACAGCGACAGAGCCAACACCTCAGAGCTGGTAAGTGGCAAAGCCAGGCCTCCGGCCCGAGTCTCCCGACCGGCAGGACCATTCCGAGTCCTTTCTGACATCCTGGTGTTAGCGGTAGGGCAGAGTCTGGGCTTGCGGCCAGGAGACTGTGGGCGTCTCCATACGTCACCAGTGACTGTCCCCTGTGTGTTCTTGAAAGCCCCTCGGGTGCAGGCCGGCCTGCTGGACTTCCTGCTGTTCGGAAGCCTCATCTCAGCGGTGGACCCCGTGGCCGTGCTGGCTGTCTTTGAGGAGGTGCATGTCAATGAGACTCTGTTTATCATCGTCTTTGGCGAGTCCCTGCTCAATGATGCCGTCACCGTGGTGAGAACGCTCAGCTGGCTGCCGTTCCCTGATCCCAGCTGCCTCTCTCTGACCAGCAGATCCACCCCCCACCCCACCCCCCACCTTAATCTCTCTGTTCTCCCTCTTTTCACTCTCCTTGTAAGTAAGCCTTTTTGATTTTCTCTCTAAATCTCTGCTCTTGGGACTTAGCTTGGGTTCTTAAGCATGGAGTGAGGACTCACACCCAGGTACTCCCATTCTCCCTGAGCTTGCTGCCCTGTAACAATGTTCCTCACACCTAAAGAAGGTACAGATGAAGATCCATGCACACACGTCACTATGTATTTGCACATATATTATATACATAAATGTATAAGTCTGTCATTTAATTTTAAAACTTTAAAACTTAATGATGATAGTATTGGTTATATACCAGTAAGGCTTTCATGTGGCAGCTTTCCTTTTCAAAGATCACTGAAGCAATATCTCCTATTTAACATGGTTACCAGCCATGAGACCTTGTAACTCAGTGTATCCTGGGGAAGAAATCGGGTCTCAGCGTCCACCCTCTGTCAGCAGCCCCACTGCTCCACGCCTCGGCCCTGACGCTCCTGTCCTCACTCAGGTGCTGTACAAGGTCTGCAACTCCTTCGTGGAGATGGGCTCTGCCAAGGTGCAGGCCACTGACTACCTGAAGGGCGTCGGTCAGTATTTCTCCCCTCTCGGCTGGCACTGGAGGTCTGCCGCCCCTGGGTTGCTGAGCCCCCCCACCCCACCAAGGTGGGGGAGGCTGTTCCGGTGGCCTTAGTCCTCCCTCCTCTATGGAGAAGTGGGGCTCTGCGTGCCTGAGGTGGGGCTCCTGTGGGACCCTGACCCCGGGATGTGTAGTGGGCATCGTCTTCTACTCCCTGCCAGGCAGCAGTCTTGTCAGCCCCCCGGGGTGGGGTCCAGGTCAGGGGTCATGCTGACACCCCACTCCTCCCCCAGCCTCCCTGTTTGTGGTCAGTCTGGGCGGGGCAGCCGTGGGCTTAGTCTTTGCCTTCCTCCTGGCCCTGACCACACGCTTCACCAAGCGGGTCCGCATCATCGAGCCGCTGCTGGTCTTCCTCCTCGCCTATGCAGCCTACCTCACTGCTGAGATGGCCTCGCTCTCCGCCATTCTTGCGTGAGTCCTGCGGGCCCTGCAGGCAGGCAGCTGGGAGGCGGGCCCAGAACATGCTTGTCCCTCATGTGCGCAGAAGCAGGAGCCGAGGGAGCCCATCGTTTGCCCAGAGTCAGCCTGGTAGTGGGAACCTCAGGCTCCCAGGGGAGACAGTAAGGCTCGGACAGCGTTCTAGGATATGCCTCCAGAACTAGCCTGGGCACCCCAGAACCCAAGCTTCCTCTACTTGAAGTGATCTCCGGGGTGCAGGTCGAGCTGCAAGTGGACTTCAAGGCTGGCACTGGTGGCCACGGCACTCCAGGTGTGCCTGAATATTGTAGTCAGAGCCTGTTCCTCCCACCTTTTTCGCTGGGGGTCCTGAGTGGAAAGCCTGGAGATTGGACCCGTAGCCCACTGGCTATCCTTGGACAGTCTCCATGCCTCCCTGAGAGACCTGTGTTGGGCAACACCCTCTCGCGCAGCATGGGGAAACCCCAGAAGCTGGGCCTCCATCACCCCTCCTCACCTGCCCTGTCTCTCTGTTCCCCTCCCAGGGTGACTATGTGTGGCCTGGGCTGTAAGAAGTACGTGGAGGCCAACATCTCCCATAAGTCACGCACAGCTGTCAAATACACGATGAAGACTCTAGCCAGCTGCGCAGAGACCGTCATCTTCATGCTGCTTGGCATCTCGGCCGTGGACTCATCTAAGTGGGCCTGGGACTCGGGGCTGGTGCTGGGCACCCTCTTCTTCATCCTGTTCTTCCGAGCCCTTGGTACTGCTGGCACCTTCTGCTTTCCCATTCTCCTTCCAGCCCTGTCCCCCTTCACCTCAGCCCCAATGCGAGTCCACCTCCTTATCAACTCCTAAACTGCCCCTTACTGGTCTCCCCCCAGCCCCAGCCCCTGTCCAGCCTTAGCCCAGATGTTCGGTTCCCGTGACCCCAGTGCCCTCCCCCCAACGCCCTGCCGCCCTGGCCTCCCTCCCGCTGCAGGCGTAGTCCTGCAGACGTGGGTGCTGAATCAGTTCCGGCTGGTCCCTCTGGACAAGATTGACCAGGTGGTGATGTCCTATGGGGGCCTGCGGGGGGCCGTGGCCTTCGCTCTCGTCATCCTGCTGGACAGGACCAAGGTCCCTGCCAAAGACTACTTTGTGGCCACCACAATTGTGGTGGTCTTCTTCACAGTTATTGTGCAGGTGGGAGAGCCTCCCTGCCGCCCCCGAGGCTGGTGGGAGAGGGTCTAGCAGGATGTGGTGGGGGGGTTGGGGCCTCTGGGACAAGGACTCCTTTCTGGTTGTGGGGATGCAGGGGCCTGAGCTGCTGGACCTGGAGTGCAGTGCAGTGGGGTGCTGAAGCTGAGTCCTGATCATGGGGAGAAAAAGGAGAAAGGCAGTGGGGAACCAGCTGGGGCGGGGCTCACTGACTGCCTGTCTGTAGGGCTTGACCATCAAACCGCTGGTCAAGTGGCTGAAGGTGAAGAGGAGTGAGCATCACAAACCCACCCTGAACCAGGAGCTGCACGAGCACGTGGGTACCAGAACCCCATCCCTCCACCTGTCCCTCTTTCCCCTCTCCTATTTTGAGCAGAGTCCTGATCCAGTCCCCCTACCCACCCCCCTTCTAGACTTTTGACCACATTCTGGCTGCAGTGGAGGACGTTGTGGGGCACCATGGCTACCACTACTGGAGGGACAGGTGAGGGAGCTACCCCGAGGCTCCTTCAGCAGCTGCAGCCCCACCAGCCAGGCAGCCTGGGGCATGCGCCACACTTCTGAGAAGGGACACAGCCAGGCACAGGCGGGTGGCCTCTGCCTGAAGCCCTTCCGTGGCACCCCAGTTCTCTCAGCATAAGACAAGGTCCCAGTGAGGCCTGCCTGGCCCTGCGTGGCCTGCCCTGCGTGGCCTGGCACCTGCCTGGCCCTGGCCTCATTGTGCTCTGCTGTCTGCGACTGTCTGCCTGCTGATTACATGAACGCTGGGCTCAGGTCCCACCATGCGCCCCTGCCCCGCCACTGGGACCTTCGCACACTTCTGTCTACCAGAACATTCCCTCACCTCACCGACTTAGCCTACTCATTTTTCAGATGTCACTGTAGACATTGAGTCCTAAAGAGGCCTTCCCTGGCCTCCATGACTAGGGCAAATCCCTCTCATCCTCTGTAATTACCCATGGTAATTCTTGTCATGGTTGCGATTTTATACTTATTTGTACTACATTCAATTAGTGGCAGGCTTTCCCCTCACACCGTAAGCTCCACAAGAGCAGGGACTAAGATTCTCCCTGCCTGAGGCTCATACCAAGCCCATTCCAGCGCTGGGGGTAGCCCTGACCGGTCTGAGGAAGGGCCAGCTGGCTGGGCCTTGGGGATGGTACTCAGGGCCGGGCCTGGCACCCTCTGTAGGTGGGAGCAGTTTGACAAGAAGTACCTGAGTCAGTTGCTGATGCGGCGGTCAGCCTACCGCATCCGGGACCAGATCTGGGATGTGTACTACCGACTCAACATCCGGGATGCCATCAGTTTCGTGGACCAGGTGGGCTGGCAGTCAGTGGTGGGCGGGCAGGTGGTGGCGCTCAACAGAGCAGGACAGGAAGGGTGACTGGCAGGCCCTGAGCAGGAGGTTGGGAATTCCCGGTAGACTCTGCGGTCTGGGGCAGTGGCAGCCCATGAAACAGGGTGGCCCAAGGCTGACAATTACTGGCAGGCAGTACAGAGAGGCAAGAAACTGCTGAACTCTGGAGTCAGCAGATGTGGTTCAATTCTTATCACTTACCGGCTTATGGCCTTGGGTAAGTCACTTACCCTCCATGAGCCTCAGTTTCCTCCAACTGTAAGAAAATGGGATTTGAGTTCCCTAAGCACCTAGTGTAGTACCTGAACATCCAAAGAACAAAATAAGTGTTGATGACTGTGATTCTTTTCGTCATCCTCCACTGTCTGTGCCCCTCATCTAATGGCCCTCTGACTTGTGTCTTGGCCCCTGCAGGGAGGCCACGTCTTGTCCTCCACCGGTCTCACTCTGCCCTCCATGCCCAGCCGCAATTCCGTGGCAGAGACCTCTGTCACCAACCTGCTGTAAGTCCTTGTGCTCCCTTCCCCATCCTCAGGCTTCCCTGTATCGGCTTCTGCCTCTCCGAATCTCGCCTCCCCCTGGCCTGTGCCCCTGACCTCTCCCCAGCACACATGTTCCTGCCTCCTGCAGGAGGGAGAGTGGCAGTGGAGCGTGCCTGGATCTGCAGGTGATTGACACGGTACGCAGTGGCCGGGACCGTGAGGATGCTGTGATGCACCATCTGCTCTGTGGAGGCCTCTACAAGCCGCGCCGCAGGGTGAGAGCAGCCAGGGCCTGGGGGTGCTGCGGGGCAGTGGTGGGTGGTCCAGGGAGCTTGAGAGGCAGTTGGCACTGGCTGGAAGAGAGCTACTGATGCCCAATTGAAGAGTATGGGCTTCATCTTATCTGTGATAACCCTTAGCTTTTTTTTTTTTCCTTCTGAAAAAGGGCTTGGTGTGATTCAAGCACTGTTTGAGGATGCCTTCTCTGGCAGCAGAGTGCAGTTGAGGTTGGAGGAAGTGAGCAGAGAGGCCAGGAGAACGGGGTCTGGGCAGGGAGAGGCCCACAGAAGACTGGGTAACTGGTCTGGAAGGGAGGGGAGAGGAGGAGAGAGAGCACAGAGGGCTTGACGGGGTGACAGAAGCGGAGGGCTGAGGAACCTGTGGGACCACCTGGCATGGGGAAGGCGGCATCTGGGTTGGGTAATGTGAGTTGGTCCAGTGCAGATGGAGAAGCTCTGGGCCAGGAAGGCCCAGCGCAGCCAGGAGGCAATTTACTGCAACCCCACAAGGGGGCAGCAGGCCATTACCTTGAACCTTTGTGAAAAGGGAAGGCAGTTGTCATCCCGGATTTTAATGAGGCGGTTTTACTGGTGAGACAGAATTGGCTCCTTTAACTTGCTCCCGCTGGTCCTGATTTGATCTTTGCAGCTCTGCAGAATAAATTTTCAGAGGTTTTGAGACAGCTCCCTTGCACACGGCCTTCCTGCCCTCAGGTCAGCATCTTCTGTCTCCGGCGTATTTTTCTGATCATGAGAAATGAGGTCCAGAATGGAAGATGCTACTTTAGTTGTGGCTGACCAGGGCAGAGTAGGGGGACCATCTTACCCTTATAGTTCTGGAACTTGTCCTCACAGCTCAGAAGCCCTCCAGCTTTGGCTCACCACCCTGGGGCCCCATACAGTCTTACAGTCAGGCACGCTCCCCTTCCCCCAGTGCCTTCCTCAGTTAATGGCTTAAATCTTACCTCATCCATTGTGTGGAGTTTTTGTTTTGTTCTATTTACTTTTTTCCTAATGGAAAATTTTGGTCATTCCCAAAACTAGAGAGAATAAAGCAACATATTTATCCACCACTCAGCTCTAATAATGATCAATACATAATTAACCTAACTATAATCTTTCCTTCCACCAAGCTCCATCCATAGTTTATTATGTTAAACTAAACTCCAGACATCATCGCTAAGTAGGTCAGTATATTTCTCTGTGTGGCAAGAACCTTTTACAGAAATACAACCATCATACCATTATCACATGCAATAAATACCTAACTCCTTACAGCAGCCACCCAGTCAGCATTCAGTAAGTATCTCTTCCCAGATGGTTTGTTTAAACCAGGACCCAAATAAAGTCCACACTCTGCATTTGGTAAATATGACTCTTTGTTTGAAGAAAAAAAAAAATCTGTACCAGTTCTTCTCTTTCCCTTCTCTCCTTGCTATTTATTTGTCTTAGAGAATTTCTCATTTCATAGAGGTCCATGACTCTAGTCTAATGGTAGACTTTATCATGGTCTTCTTCCATCCTGTGTATTTCCTTTTTTTTTTTAAGATGTATTTATTTATGCATACAGAACTGGGGTACAGGTTAGAGGTGCGGGAGCCATGAGAGGATTCACCAGAGACAGAGTGGGGAGCAGAACAGGCAGATTAACTGAAACACACTGCTGAGGGGAACAGTAGGTGAGACAGGAGAGGTCTGCTGTGCCATGTGGGTCACCTCCCTGGCGGGGAATCGAACTTGTCTTAAATTGGCTGTGGTCAGCTTCATAGTACTGTGCTTAACCTGTTATGCCACCCAGGGAGGTCCCCCTTGTATTTCCTGGTAGTGAAATCTACATCCCTGTAATATTAAGGAACAGTCAGTATGTATTCCTTACCACATCAGGAAGTACGCAAGGACTGGTATACTGTGGTGTCTGTGGATGCATGGGTGTGATACTTGTGAATGGGTTCAGAGCAGCTAGTTTTAGTGTGG